CCAATTCATAACAGAAGTTATCTCAGGACACTTTTCAAAAAGAGCAGGTCTAGACCGAACTCTTTAAAACATTATTTACAGAGACCCAACAGTACCACCATGAGCAAGCACTTGGCGACAAGGGCAAGGAAAAACTGCCTGTTAAAAGGCAGAAACCTAGGACAGATCCTTTGGCTCTAGGTGGGTGGTCGTCTGCCTCGACCAGTTGGGGTGAGAGAGAGAGAGAGAGAGAGAGAGACAGACAGACAGACAGACAGGTGCACAGCAACAACAGTATTGGCAATGGCAATCTAGCAGGACCATGGCAGGAGGCTCCACCAGGATCGATAAGAACCTGCGAGACGAGAAAGCACATGAACTCCGGGGAAGAAGTGAAGTTAGTAACATGCATTAATGGGACATGAATGAGTGCAGAAAGAGAGAGGAAGAGAGGAGCTCAGTGCACCATGGGAAATCCCCTGATAGTCTAGGCCTATAGCAGCATAACTAAGGGATGGTTCAGGACTCACCTGATCCAGCCCTAACTATAAACTTTATCAAAGAGGAATGTCTTAAGCCTACTCTTGAATGTGGAGAGGGTGTCTGCCTTCCGAACCACAACTGGAAGCTGGTTCCACAGGAGAGGAGCTTGGTAACTGAAGGCTCTGGCTCCTGTTCTACTTTTAGAGACTATAGGAACCACAAGTAGCCCAGCATTCAGAGAACGTAGTGTTCTAGTGGGGTAATAGGGTACTATGAGCTCTTTAAGATATGAAGGGGCCTGACCATGAAGAGCTCTATAGGTGAGGAGGAGGATTTTAAATTCTATTCTACATTTTACAGGGAATAGATAGATAGATAGATAGATAGATAGATAGATAGATAGATAGATAGATAGATAGATACTTTATTTATCCCAAGGGAAATTCAAGTATCCAGTAGCATACAAAACATACATTTCATACATTAAACATACATTAAAATAAAATTAAAAATAAAAATAAAATTGACTTATAACACAGTAGCCACGGTAAACCGTGCAAAACAGTAGACAGTGCAAATGGAGTGCAAATGGAGGTAGAAATTGTCTGTTGTCTATTGTCCTCCCTGACTTGACTAAGAGCTGTTGTACAGTCTTATGGCCAGGGGGTGCAGCAGTTTTTTTACAGATGTTGAAGGACCCCAGCCTTCTCAGAAAAGTAAAGACGGCTCTGCCCTTGTAGATTGTCCATGTTGGCTGTCCAATCCAGCTTGTCATCCAGCTGCAGCCCCAGATATTTGTAAGTCTTGACCACCTCCCCATCGACCCCCTCGATGGACATGGGTTCGAGATGTGGTTTCTTCCTTCTGAAGTCCACCACCATCTCCTTGGTCTTGGAGGTGTTCAGCTGCAGACGGTTGAACGTCATGGGTGTGGATGGGGGGGGGGTCTGCAGTCTGAGGTGGTGATGGACATAGTGGTGGCGTTGGGGGAGGTGATGGACATGGTGTGGGTGTGAAGTGGGCAGTCGCTGGTTGTGGGAGCTGGATTATCAAACCTGTTAAAAAACAAGTTTAGCTGGTTTGCTCTCCCAGCATCCCCTTCTCCTGTGATGCTGCCCTTCTTCTTGCAGCCTGTGATGGTTTTCATGCCATCCCAGACCTCTCTCATGTTGTTGTGCTGCAGCTTCTGTTCTACCTTCCTTCTTCTTCTGGTGCACGGTTTCTGCATGCGCACGTGGAGGGACGTAAACACCAACAGCAATGGCATGGGAGAACTCTCTAGGCATGTAGTACAGTCTGAGACCTACCGCCAGCAACTCGATGTCACTGTAGTGAATCCAGGTAGATCCCCATTAGCGTCTGGGGTGTTCTTGGTTAGCCATGTTTCTACTTCCAAAGCTTAGCTGCTAGCCTAGCCTTCACCTTCGCTCCGGCTCTGCAGCCTCGGTGCCTCCTCCTCAGCTTCTCAGGTATGGGGTGGAAAATGCCACCTCGTCCCATTGTTTGGAGTGAAAGCAGCTTCTCCCTTGAATAAACAAGATGTCCACCGCTATGTTGTCCGTAAAGAGTCATTGTATCCTTAGGATATATAAAGTTCTACACAGCTAGTGTAATATAATTTAAGTTAAATTAATTTGAGTTAAATGTTTAAAAAAACACACTTAAAGTACTAAAAACAACACGACACGTACGGAGCTACTGGATAAGTGCCCTGCTCGTGCCGGATGAGAAGCGTAAATATTTAAAACGATTCATCTGGACTCTAATCCCTAGTGTAAGTCAAGCTCCAGAAACACTGGATACTACTTTTCCTTTTTAAATCAACTTTATTATAGTTTACACATATAATAGATTACATAGACAAGGAAATTGATTCAATAAAATCTTTGTAAAGTGCTTCAGTAATAATCTTTGTAAAGTGTGAAACATTTATAAAGTGCATAACATTTATAAAGTGCATAACATTTATAAAGTGCAAAACATTTATAAAGTGCATTTAGTTCATAAAGTTCATGTAGTCAGGGAGTTCTTTTTCTTTCTTTTTTTTTGGGTGCTGATTTATATATTTAAAGTATTCCAGGGAGGAAAAAGTTTTTGTCCAGGTTTTTCTTCCTGCTGAGTTCTGTGTGTATTTGTTTTGTGACTGTCTTGTCTTCCAGAGTTTGAAACAGACGATGCTTATGATGAGTTGGAGTAATTCAGTTTGGTCAGGTGGTTTGTTATATCCGGTCATGATTCCGTACATTACTGATTTCCAGCATGGTTTGTAGTCTATTCCAAAGTCCTTCAAGGCGTCCCAGACTTCCCGAGTTCTAAAACAATCCATTAAAAGGTGCTGTTGTGTCTCATCATCGTTGCAACCAGTCATTGGACATTTCTTTGTTGTTACATAGCAACTACAAGACACAACAGCCCTGACAGGAAGTCTCCCCACAGATACCAGCCACCTTAATACTCTCTGACAGCTTTTTACACTTTAAAATATTCATTACCTCTGTGCCTTCATTTACAGTTAGATTCTTATATACAATAAAACCTCCATATTTAAAATCATTAATTTTTTTAAAAATAATTTTGTTTGGTAGCCCTCCCCAGTCTATGTTCAAATGTTGATATTGGTTAATAAAATCTCCATAAATTAATTTATAATCTGGGCCAGTCCTTTTTTTCCCTTTTCTTTTCTTCCACATTAAAAAGTCCCCTAACCAAAGAGCATTTCTGCTAAAATCTAAAAATATATTCATATATATATATATATATTTAACAAATGAGATTTTTAGTTTGTCCCCAAGCTCTATTGCCCCTAACCCTCCATACCCCTCTCTCCACATTAAAAGACTCAGATAAAAAAACATTTACATTTACACACGCATTAGATTTTAAATACATACATCTTACCATTTGAATAAAAATAGTTTGAGGCCGTATGCTTCCATCACCGCCCAGAGATAATCTCTGGAGATGTAATCAAAGGCTTTTTTCTGATCCAGACCAATAATATAAAAACCTTTTGTATCTTCAGGTTTGTGCAGAACTTCTCTTAAAATATTCAGGTTGTCCTATACTACTTTTCCCATACCATACCATTTACTCAGTGATTACACTTCCATCTGTGCTTTATTCATATAATTCTTAAAGTAAAACACCTGCTGCTACAGTAGAGTTGAGAGTGTAAAATATAATGATACTTAAAAACCCAGATTGGTGTTGTCTCTCACTCTGCCCTTCTCTGTCCTGGCTCATGAGGATTAGTTCTGTTCCAATGGTTGTATGCTTGGATATTTATAGCTGATTAAATTAACACTAACCAACAGCCTCTGTATGTGTGTATGTGTGTAGAGAGAGAGAGAGAGAGAGAGAGAGAGAGAGAGAGAGAGAGAGAGAGAGAGTGTGTGTATGAGTTGTAAGGCCTAGTAAAATGGTACATGTTATTGAGTCAGGCTGAAACCAACACAACTAACACATACAAACATGCTTCAGTCATGCTTGTTTCAGGCGACTGTCTGTGTATTTGCAAGTCATACACACACACACACACACACACAGTTAACACACACAGTTTCATGTTCTCAAGGGGATTGTCAATGCCATCCAATCCTCTTACAGCACAGACCAGACACACACACACACACACACACACACACACATAGATAAGAGAAGGGATAGACTTCAGTTACTTATAGACAAGCTAAATCCTGAAAAGTGTGTATGTATGTTTATAGGTGTTAACATGCTTGTGTTAGCCATGGATAACCGTCCTTGTTACTTCTGAATCACTGTATGTGTGTGTGTGTGTGTGTGTGTGTGTGTGTGTGTGTGTGTGTGTGTGTGTGTGTGTGTGTGTGTGAATGATTGTTTTAGCCCATGCGAATATGACTTTTATAGTTCTGATGGTTTTGTGTTGCCTGTTTAAATTATAATCTAATCTTTGTGGTGGTCTCTAAAATTAGCAACGTTAGGTATGGTGATAAATAAACAACAGCCTAACAGGTGTGCTTTGCGTTACAGAGAGCAGCCCACTAATTGCAACAGTTGTATCAAGTAGATTGCAACAACTAAAAACTTCCCTGCAAAATTGCCAAATGAGATGCATCACTCAAATGGAGAAAACATTTCTGCCCTTCTTGGTATCATTTTAATAGTAGGTGTTACTATTTTATGCACTGTTGACTGTGGTTACACAGTACCCTATGCAGCGATGATGATTTAAATAATGATTGTTTGTAATCAGCAACCCCCAAAGATGTATGATTTTACCGCTTACAGACATATCGAAACAGGATACTAGAACTCTCTGTTTAGAAACTTCTACATTTAATTGATTCAATTTATTTATGTGCACTATATAATCCTGCACATGAACACCTTTTTAAAAAGGAGGTACAATTGGGGGCAGTATTCTGAATTCCTGTATAGCACATAACTCCCCAACATTTCTGTTTGTCTATGGATTAAACAAACTGAGTTCAGAATCAGTTTGTCCACCACTGTTTATTTTTCAACTGTAAAATGTAGTATACTCCTTATTGACACTGCAGAAACTGCTGGAGAGCTGGAGACAGACAAGCTCACTCAGATGGAGGAGGAGAAGGAGAGAGGCAACATGGGACAAGAGCAAGGAGATGAGGGCAAGAACCAAGAACAACCTTCCAGCGGGAACTCCCAGAATTTCATGACAGAAAAAGAGGAGAACTGTGTGGGGGTTTGTACAAAGATGGAGGAGAAGGGGAAGGAGAAGGGAATGGAGGAAGGAGAGATGCAGAAAGAGATGGAGCTGGAGGCAGAGGTGAAGGTGGAGCTGCGCCAGTCTGTGCCAGGCCTGCAGATGAGCTTCATCCAGGGCACTGACCTGTTTGGCTACGTGGGCATCGAGGCAGTACTGGACCAGATGAGGAGCAAGACAATGAAGGCCGGTTTCGAGTTCAACATCATGGTGGTTGGTGAGTCTCACGCACATGAACATAAACACAGTGATGAGAGAACTTTGGCAGCAATGTTGGTGACCAAACAGTCAAAACTTTTCAAGGTGTAGTGAAGAGTATTTAAACTAGCAACTTCCTGGAGGAGGGAAGACACCCATTCACATACCTGAAACACCACAACGTGCTATTGAAATCTTTCTGACTAATTATTGCCGGATGACAAAAGCTCCACCTGGTTGATTTTTCGTTAAGGTGCTGGAAGCCTCAGTGTGTCCATCTGAAAGTGAAGTGACATCCACACACTTAGATCCATGCGGTATATCACTTTATTTAGCAGGTTTACGGTCTAATAGACCTTCATCAGGGCACACAAAATACATCAATGGACAGGCAGGGGCAAATAACGAATCCTAATCATTAGCAGTATGTAAAACAACGCCCTGGGTCCACCTCTTGGGAATGGAGTTTCCAGGTGCTATGCGGCATACACTTAGAACCATACTTGTAACAAAACACCAAGAAATACAGAAAAGGGTGTGGAACACGGTAAATATAGTGTAAAATATTTTGCTAAACTGGTAGATCCCACTCCTCATCTCCAACATAGTACAGTCATATTTGGTTACCCAGAAGTTGAAGAAAACTGATATTTCAAGAGGAAGAATGCAGATTACTTTAGCAAGTTAATGTCAGCAACCCTGACATTAACAATGATCCCTGCTGTGCTTTGGGCAGTCACAGAGCTCCACAGAGAGGGCAGCTTCCTCATAGCCATAGCAAAGTTCTCCAAGCTCCAAGACAGTTTGACCAATGGCAAAGCCCGCATAGTAACTACAAGGTCACCAGGTCACCATAGAATTTCCTAACAATTACAGTCTTAGTCTTATATCTGCAATGACATAGTGTTGGAAAAGGTAGTTGTTACAGCGTGTGTGTGTGTGTGTGTGTGTGTGTGTGTGTTAATTTGGGGGTTGCTGGTTCTCTTCCTCATTGAGATCATGTATTTTGCTTTGCTTTTGTGTTGGAAGAGGAAGTATGATTCTGAGAGGAGGAAGTGGTTTTGGTTAGGGCTGTTTGCTCTTTCCTGACACACACACACACACACAACACACACACACACACACACACACACACACACACACACAGAGCTGATATATACGCTTCCCCCACTGTTTGATTGAAAACAGGAAGTTTCCCCTTGCTAATTATTTCTAATTTGAGTATTCTAATTGTTTACTGTGTGTAAAGAATGACTACACTCTTGCTTAAATGCAAGTGTTTGCAGACTTGGATGCCACATGTCTGAGGTGCTCGTGGTCATCACATCAGGTCTGTGAGGGTGCTAGGAGACAAGACCTTACTTTGTACCATGTACATGATGAATAACAAAATGTTGACCTATAGTCTAACGCACAAAGAGCAGTGTAGTCTGTTGTTCTCGATATAACAATTTCCCAGAGACGGGTGTATTAGTGGAGGGAGAAGAGGTATATAAATAATGTTGGATAGAATTCAGTGTCAACCCCACTGTGGTAGATATAGACAGCTGTACATTTGTTGTGATTACATTACTTTATAAAAACTATCAAGACAGGTCGTCCGGCTACAGTTCTGGCATGGCTCAGACGCCGTTCTCCGTCAGCAGTTTCTTTTTTCAGGGGCAAAATCCCTGTGTGTATTATCATAAAGATCAAGATTTTGGGGGGGAGTTGTGGTGCCTCTCCGCTTCTAATGACACTAACTGACAATATAGCTTGATGAGCAGGCAGTATTGTGCATGGTTTTATTTTCTTCTTCAGATAAGGAGACACTCTTTCACACACTTAGGAGAAAGGTTAAAAGCATCGGTTTCATGTGTGTGCAGGTCAGAGTGGTTTGGGGAAGTCCACGCTGGTCAACACTCTGTTTAAGTCTAAAGTCAGCCGGAAGTCCTGTACGCCAAACTACGAAGAGAAGATCTCCAAAACAGTCAAACTGCATACAGTCAGCCATGGTGAGTCCACATACACATACACAAACACACACACACACACACACACACACACACACACACACACACGCATTAGGAGGGACAACAAGCCTGTTTGTCCCTGCACTTTCAGATGTTACGGTAACCTCTTCAACTCTGTACTAAATATGTCCGTGGTTGCTGAGTGGTGAATATGATCATTATATGAATTTAGAAGACCTGAGGCATCCATTGAATTCCATTTGTGTCATACTACCAAATTTAGGCTAGATTTTGTGATATATCTGAGATAGCTATTTAAAAAGTGATCCCTTGACTTCTGACCTCAAGATATCTGAATTAAAGTCAAGTCTCTTTACAGACATGCCCACTCTATGCTAATCCAATGCACTTGCCTCATGTTTCCCACTTTGAAACCCACACTGGCCCCACTGCAAAGGGTGATGGGGTCAGGTGGGCCTGGGTTCTTTCTGAAGTCAAAAATGAATGTAAGTCTATCTCTGTCTACCTTTCTGCTCTGGATGATTACATTTGTTCAGGCCAGTCATCACTCACATCCTACTTTCATATCACTAGTCCTTTCACTTCTTGTCTCATGACCAGGAATCCCAGCTTGTGACTGCTTCCCAAAAAGCATTTTGTAATTTTGAAAGGTGTTGCATATCTGTTAGGTAGGTACTTCACCACTCAACACAGGATGATATTGTGTCCCTTAAAGGGTCACTTCACCCAAATTGCTGTGGGTTATTGCTTTGAAAGGAACAATTTCTTCTGCAGAAAGTAGAGACAATATGTTTTTTTCTAATTACAGTACGTGTATGTTATGTTGTAGAAAAACAATTTTTGTTTTTTTTTAGTGGATCAAAAACATGATTTTCTGGCTGACACCAAACACCCTCAGTCTGCGTAAAAAATACAGCCTTTGCTGTAAATGGGAACATACATAATCTACATGATCACTCCAGTTGAAGAGGTTATCCAGGTGGATACCCAGATACCTATAAGATGTGACCTGTTTGATCTCGTCCCTATGTATGGACAGTGGAGTATAATCCCCCACCGACCGAGGGTCAAACACCATCTCCTCAGTTTTTTTAATGTTAATGATGAGATAGTTCTCGTCACACCACTGAACAAATGAATTAACCTCCGTGAAGTACAATGACGGGTCGAGTCTGGTGGCAGGCTGGAATGGCAGTGTCGTCAGAAAATTTAAAAACAGGTTGCCCGGAGACTTTGGTGGGGGTAAAGGGGGAAAAGGACCGGGGCCCGGGGGCACCGTACGATGCATTTGGTCCGAAGTGAGTCGTTAATCCTGACATTTTGGGTTATATCTGTTAAAAAACCATAAAACCACTTAATAAAAAAAATTACACATCTGGGCTTTTTGGGTTGAAAAAAAAAAAAAAAAAAAAAAAAAAAATGCTTAGGTGGGGGTGATGCTATTAATTGCATCGTCTGTACTCCTCCCCTGCCTATAAGCAAACTGGAGTGGATCTAGTTCAGAATTAACTTCAGATTTCAACACGGATACCATGTATTTTTCAAAGCATTTCATGATAACAGAAGTTAAAGCCACCGGTCTATAATCATTGTTTTCTGTAAGACAGGGTTTCTTTGGAATGGGAATAATGGTTATTTTCTTCCAGCGGGCAGGAAACAGATGAGAATCTGCAGACCTCTGAAACACAGGGCACCACGCTGGGGTTAGCTCTGCTGCAAAGGTCTTTAGGAGAAAAGCAGCGATACCATCAGGGCCTGTAGATTTCTTTTTGCACACATGGCTGAAAAGTGACTGGATTTTGAGGGGATCAACTACTAACCTTGAACAAGGGTCAGCAGTTGTAATTGACTGTAGTACATTATTGCATTCCAAAGAGTAGTCCTGTGTATCAAAACCTGAGAAGAGTGTGTGTGTGTGTGTGTGTGTGTGCGTGTGCGTGCGTGCGTGCGTGCGTGCGTGCGTGCGTGCGTGCGTCAGGCCAAAGACAGGAAGCATCATTTATCTTCTGAAGTTCCTCCACACACAGTCTTTCTTTGTTGGAGGAATGCTCTTTTTCATCTGTCACTCCAAGTATGTGAAGCCGCAGACCATGACATCCTCCATAAACATTTTCTCCTGCACTCTCACATGTATCTTCTCATGTTTAAATGCTTGTCACATTTACACTTTGCATAAAAACCATGAAGAAAAACTGCTCAAGAAAACTCTAGGCCTAAATATGGTCATGATTCTGAACTGCAGGTTTCTTCAAACTTTCCAAAGATGACAGTACTGCTGCACAATTAGTGAAAATATTATCAAAATTGCAATATGGCTAAGTGGAATAGCCAAACTGCAGAAGCTGAAATTTTGTGACAAAAGTTAAAATATGTGACAAAACAACAGATATAATGAAGTACTGTAGTGCTGCAGAGATCCCCTGGCCTACAAATCTTAGTCTCCAGATGTAAGAAAACATTTTTTTTTTTTTTTGGTACACATCCCAACAACAACATCATCATGATTTTAGTGTAAATGAAAATTGTGATGCAAATGCCTTGTGATGCCTGACCTTTGTTAAACGGCCCTCTTTGAGCTGTCATACATCCTTAATCTCCATGTCTGCATAACCAGTCTGAATGTACATTGTGTCCTATGAAAAGAAAATGTTGAACGGAACAAACAACATACTGATGACTTTGCTTGTCTTAGAGCTACACCAGAGCTAGAGGAAAGGTCATAACTTCATCCTCTGTGGAACAGATATGCTCAGATAAGTTGCAATTTAGAGTGTGATATTTCCTGTGTACGAGTGGAAATTGTGAGTTGATAGTGAAGCCAGAAGAAAGGTCAGTTGATGACTCTGAGTCAGAGTTAGATGTGCTGTTCAGTTGGGAATCTAGACCTCACCCAGGTCAACGTCAAGTTCTCCAAAATCATTAGGAAGCACGCACCACTGTGCTGAATGCAGAGCTCTACCTTGGGTCTATTTATTCTATTCAGGGAGCATGTTCATAAAATCAAGGTGGTGTGATAAGGAGATAAGGAAGTGAGGCTCGCCTTCACATGACTGGACTGTCAGAATGAAACTAGATCAGACGTCTGTGTTTCTCTTTAAATGAGAAATCCCAAGTAAACCAGCGCTAAAATTACACTTAAATTACACTATTAAAGGTCAAACACTGCGTGGCCATTCTGCTATATTTTGTACAGTATATGTTTGTTCTAGTTAATTTGTTATCTACCTTCCCAGTCATACTCACTCAGAGAGAGACTTAGACTGCCTTCGGAGACACATTTCAGACTAAAGAATCATGACCAGTTAATTGGGGAGCACTTGTCCAATTGGGCACAATAACAGTGTTAGCAGATTATTATTTTTTTATAATATCTTTATTACATTTTTGTAGATAACAGGATACACAAAAAACAGACACACAACAGAAAAAAAAACATAATAGAAAAAAAAATAATAACAAAACAGAGGGAATGTTTAAAAAGAATAATTAAGTACAATGCTGTATCACTAGCATTAACATATTAGCACAAATTCTAAACAATGAGAGGTGGATGGCACTCTATGAACTTCCTTGCTGGTCATGGTCAGTGTCATATTTAGCAAGGTGAGCCAGAAATGGCTGCCATATATCCGAAAATGTATTAAGATTGTCCATATGTAAAATACCAGTGAGCTCACTCAACCAAGTCTTAAACTCAGGCACAGTATCTGACTTCCAGAGTCGTAGAATCACTTTCTTTGCAATTACCATTCCATACATAATTGTGCTCTGTACCGAAACGTGTTTAAGTACCGAAGGAGAAATCCCAAATAATTCAATTCAATTCAATTCACTTTTATTTGTATAGCGCCAGAGAGAGAGAGAGACATACAGACATACAGACAGACAGACAGACAGACAGAGGTGCACAGCTACAACAGTAGCAACAACTACACTAATAGTAGTGACTGATGATGATGAACATGAAGATGATGACGACGACGACAACAACGATGGGGCGCAGTGACAATAGTAATAATAGTAACTATAGTAATAATAATAGTAATAATAATGATAGCAACAATATCAGTGATATTAGCAATGGCAGTCAAGCAGGACCATGGCAGGAGGCTCGACCAGGATCCATGAGAACCTGCGAGACGAGAAAGCACAAGAACTCATGGGACATGAATGAGTGCAGAAAGAGAGAGGAAGAGAGGAGCTCAGTGCATCATGGGAAGTCCCCCGATAGTCTAGGCCTATAGCAGCATAACTAAGGGATGGTTCAGGACTCACCTGATCCAGCCCTAACTATAAGCTTTATCAAAGAGGAATGTCTTAAGCCTATTCTTGAATGTGGAGAGGGTGTCTGCCTCCCGAACCACAACTGGAAGCTGGTTCCACAGGAGAGGAGCTTGGTAACTGAAGGCTCTGGCTCCTGTTCTACTTTTTAGAGACTATAGGAACCACAAGTAGCCCAGCATTCAGAGAACATAGTGTTCTAGAGGGGTAATAGGATGCTATGAGCTCTTTAAGATATGAAGGGGCCTGACCATGAAGAGCTTTATAGGTGAGGAGGAGGATTTTAAATTCTATTCTAAATTTTACAGGGAGCCAGTGCAGAGAAGCTAGTACAGGAGAGATGTGATCTCTTTTCCTAGTTCCTGTCAGTACTCGTGCTGCAGCCGTCTGAATTAATTGGAGCGTCTTAATGGACTTATTTGGGCAACCTGATAATAAGGAGTTGCAGTAATCCAGCCTAGAAGTAACAACTGCGTTGCCGGCAGTTAGCTCCTCACTGCTACTGAGTTTATCTGCATTTCTACCGTCAATATTAATTCAATAACTGCTTCTAAACCAAAAACTTCACCAGCGGACATGTTAGAGCGGGAGTCTGACCTGAAATCATGGAGAAATGAACATCAACAACAATCAGGATTACAGCTTTCTGTGACGTTTTCCTCAGGTAAATACTGCTATAAAAACCTCTATCTATCACATAATGTTAGTGTTTATACCTTAACTATGAGAACCAACACTGTGTTTTATTCTTGTCTTTACAGGTACAACAGTGAGCAGTGACCTACAGTCTACACAGCCCAGTGAAGTTAAACATATTATATGCCTGCAATACTTTATCCTGTACAACATGTCAACATAACTGAAGGAATTATTCATCTAATAAAGTAACTTGTTTATGTGGTTTAAAAACTGCTAAGTAACCAACTGTACTGTACTGTATTCATATTCATAGTCTGATATTTTAACTTGAAAGTATTATTACCAAAGTTAACCTTCAGATATGTGTAAAAGCTGCAATTATGTTTGAACCCCATTAAAAATACTGTATATATACTGAATATGCTATCATTTATTATATATTGTCATGTCATTTATCTTACCAACGTAATAAAGTTTGAATGTGAGACAGTAATGTATTGTGTTGCTTACAGTCATTAATACAGGTTTAACATTGAAATCGCCACGCAGCGCTTACTTCCTGTTGCCAGTAGGTGGCGCTATCACTGTGTCTGAATGTTGTCAAGTAGACGTGTTCAAGGCGAGAGTGTTATCAAACACGTGAAGTTTCATTGAGATTCGACCACGTACGCTGAAGTTATGAGGACGTGTTCAGGGCAAAACTGTTTCAGAATATGTGAAGTTTATTGGAGAGTGGACATTGCACACTGAAGTTATGAGTACTATTTTATGGTGAATCTGCTGAAATCAACAAGTTGTCACTGGCACGCGGTTTGATGTACAGTCTCAAATAGCACAACTTTTAATCAGCACCATTTTTTGACTGTACTGACCAATTTTGAAGTAGATCCGATAAATTCCCTAGGAGGAGTTCGCTCAAGTACAACAGAAAAATACAGAAAGTGCGCAAATGGCCAACTTTGACGGCACGCTATGGACACGCCCTTCAACATACTGCACAATAGCACAACTTTAATCAGCACCTTTTTTGACTGTATTCACAAATTTTGAAGCATATCCGATAAATTCCCTAGGAGGAGTTCGTTCAAATACGACGCGAAAATTTTTTATGTGATTGACTCTGGGGGGGGGAGGGAGGGTGCGGATAGCCATGCCAAGATTTGCATGGATGGGAAAACATGCACTTATTTGCTTGCCCCTAATGCATTTGATGGCACTTTTTTGAACTACTAACTAAATCCTTGCTTGATCTCACAGGGTTTCATTTAGTTCTAGGGGCAGATTTCAACACGGTGTGGGACAACGGCATTGACAGAACAGGTGGCCAACATCTGGCTTTTGTTAAACCCTTCTTTAAAAGACTTCTCATTTTACTCAGGGAGACATGAATCCTTTTCAAGGTTAGATTTTATCTTTGCCTCAAAAGATTTCTTTCAAAATATTCAAAATGCACATTACATTCCGGTTACCTGGTCTGATCACAAACCAATATATTGTTCGGTCACTGTTCGTCCATCTTCCACTAAAGCCCCCAGATGGCGTTTCAATTCTTCCTTACTGCGAGATGAAACATTCAAAGCTCAGTTTGAAACAAATTTTAGTGAATTTTTGGAATTTAATGTCGGCTCTGTTTCCGATCTTTGAATACTTGGGAGGCGGTGAAAGGCTTTATAAGGAATAACACCACTTTATATGCTTCAACACGAAACAAGGAACGTGCAGCCAAATTGGAAGCGTTAGAATTAAAATATGCGACCCTTGATGCTTCCCTGCAACATAATTTTAACGACTACACAGCCCTACAGAAGGAACTGATTAAAAAAGAGATTAACTCTCTTCTGAATTCTTCAGAATTCCTCATGCACAAAACAAGACAAACTTACTATTTTAACTCCTCAAAACCCAGTCATCTACTGGCAATGAAACTTCGGACGGATGAGCACTTTGCTGATATTTTTTGCATTAAAGACAAAGACGGCACTATACAATGTGACCCAAAGACAGTAAATGCCTCCTTTGCCTCCTTTTATCAGGAGTTAATTTTGACAAACTGCAATAATTTCTTAAATGACGTTAAACTATCCCGCCTTAGTAATGACGACTCCATAAAGCTAGATGGCCCTGTCACATTGCAGGAGTGTGAGGCGGCTGTTAGGGACATGCGTAAAGGTAGATCACCAGGGCCGGACGGAATTCCACCTGAATTTTACCTCACCTTTTGGCCCCTGATCGGCCCGCTGTTATTGGACATGATCCATTTTTCAATCAGAGTGGGATCATTTTCCAGGGATGTTAAATCGGCATTAATTTCACTGCTTCTTAAAAAAGGAAAGGATCCAGTTGAGTGCTCCAGCTACAGGCCTCTTTCGCTTTTAAATGCAGATTTAAAGATTTACGTAAATGGTAAATGGACCTGTACTTGTATAGCGCCTTTCTAGTCTTCCGACCACTCAAAGCGGAGGAGAGGATCAAGACAAGGCTGCCCTCTTAGCCCTCTGTTATTTGCCCTTTCTCTTGAACCACTGGCACAAGCCATCCGCGGCTCACCCACAATCTCTCCAATTTCCATTAGAGGAACACACCATCACGCCAGTGCAATGTATCCCACATGTTTTGTCAACCTTTGAACATTACGGCAAGCTTTCTGGTTTCAAAATAAATTGGCAGAAATCAGCCTTGCGACCTTTAAATCAGGCCATGTGTAATGCTCCCATCCCTGCATCTATTCCAGTCATTAAAAACTTCACTTATCTGGGGATAGATATCTCTTCCTCTATACAGACAATGATTAAAAACAATTTTTGCAACACACTTAAAAAAGTTGTGGCAGATCTGGACAGGTGGTCTAACCTGCCAAATTCACTTCGTGGCAGGGTAGCCATAATTAAAATTAATATTCTGCCCAGAGTCAATTCTGGTAGCTCGATGCTCCCCCTTCCCCCGCCCCTCAATATTGGAGCAATAACAAAATTTCTGTGGCATGGCAAACGATCTTGCATTAAGCTCACCACTATGCAGCGAGAAAGGCAAGACGGTGGCCTGTCTCTCCCAAACTTCCCAAGTTCTATGAGTGGGCCTTCACACTTAGACCTCTCCTATCTTGGTTTCAATTTGATGCTCAAGTGTCTTGGCGAGCTTTGGAGCAGCGGATAATAGCTCCATACTCTTTTACTAACATTCAGCATTCTAAAATATCACCCCATCACTGCCGTTTGAGATTTAGTCCTATGATTTCATATTTGCTATTGACATGGAGGAGGGTGGAGAAATTGTCTGGTTGCTCTTCTGTTTGGGACCCACACTCTCCAATATTTAACAATGAGAGATTGTTGATTGGTGATAGTCCTATTCGATTTCCTGACATTTGCACACTCGGTGATATTTATGGGGAGGGGGGTTACTTACTTTTCAGAACATATGTATTAAGCATGGTATACCACGTACCTCCTTTTTCTTTTATTTGCAGCTGGGATCAACTTTAAAAAGCAATGGTGCCCCTTTACAGGGCCCTCTCACACCACATCCACTTTGTAAATTGTTTCACTCTGCTGGGAGTACAAGGGGTTTGTATCAAGACTCTACTGTTTCTTACTGTGGCACGCTTACAGACCTCTGGCGTTGGACATGGTGTGGAGGAGAGATGTTCCAGATTTGGAACCTACATTTAAGATAAGATATTCCTTTATTTATCCCCCTTAGGAGAAATTCAGGTTGACACAGCAGCAATAGGGCAAAATAGTGCAAAAACAGAGAAAGAATATCACAATAAAAATAATACGCTAAATATTATTAATATTAGAAGATATAAAACTATAAATTAAAGTATATACACTATGCATTGTTCAAGTAGGATATGGAGTGCAAAATATAAGCAGAAAATTAAACTTGACTAAAACTAAAAAAACTAAAACTACTAAACTACTAAAGTGGAAATTAAATATAAATAGTGCAAAAGGCTTGTGCGTTGTAGGTAGGAGTTTTAAACCAGTCTTTGTCTGCGGGGGTTGGAGGTACTGGGTTCTGTGGCATTGTTGAGTCTGATGGCTGATGGTACAAACGAGCCTCGAAACCGCTTCGAGGCCCGGGGCTGGGTCGGTCTGTAGCTGAACGTGCTCCTGAGCTGCCTGAGCTCACTGTAGAGAGGATGAGAGGGGTTGTCCATGCTGGCTTTCAGCTTCCCTCTCATCCTCTTTTCAGTCAAAGCCTCCACACTGTCCAGCTCCATCCCCACCACCGAGCTGGTCTTCCTCACCAGCTTGCTAAGCTTGTTGGCACCCCCAGTGCCGATGTCTCCCCTCCAACAGACCACAGCAAAGAAGAGGACACTGGCCACTACAGACTGGTTGAACATCTGTAGTAGCCGAGTGCACACGTTGAATGACCTGAGCCTCCTCAGAAAGAACAGCCTGCTCTGTCCTTTCCTGTAGAGGGCCTCAGTGTGATCCGTCCAGTCCAGTTTATTGTTGAGTGTCACCCCCAGGAACTTGTAGGTGTCCACCATCTCTACCTTCTCCCCCCTAATCTCAACAGGGGAGGGGGTCCTCTTGCTCCTCCAGAAGTCCACCACCAGCTCTTTGGTTTTTCCTGTGTTGAGCTGTAGGTGGTTCCTGTCCATCCAATGAAGTTCTCAATCAGGTCACTGTACCCCTCCTCCCTATCATCTGAGATACAGCAGACAATGGAGGAGTCATCAGAGAACTTCTGTAGGTGGCACTCTCCAGAGTTGAAGCAGAAGTCAGAGGTGTAGAGGGTGAACAGGAATGGTGACAGTACAGTTCCTTGGGGTGTACCAGTGCTGCTCGTTACCACGTCTGACATACTGTGGTCTGTCAGTGAGGTAGTCAGTTTGACTGGGATAAAGTGTGGATCATTGTGGGCTTAGCATCCAGAAACCCTAATCATCAGCAAATACATTATAATCATATACACAGGGTATATTTAACTCCTAGGAAGCTTCATTTGATGAAGGTTATTAATGATCCTACGTGTACTTTCTGTTCCTCCAAAGTTATTGGCAGTTATTTTCACGTTTTGGGAGTGTACCCCAGTGGCCGAACTTTTAAAGATGGTGGCCTTTAACCTTTCGAGGTTGTTTAAAATTAGATTGCCCTGTTCGCCTGCTACACTCATTTTGAATGATTTGTCAAGGCTGGGTTTGACACTGGATAAGAGAAGAGCATTGTTGGCTGGACTTACGGCTGCAAAAAAAACTAGTTGCCACACGTTGGAAACCTCCACGTTCACTCTTATTTCGAGCTTTGGTTTTAACATATTTGGATATTGTTTATTTAGAGTTGTCGAAAGCTAGAGTCCACGGAGCAAAAGAGTCAACAATAGAGGCTTGGCATTCACTTTTAACTATCCTCCGTGGGTTTCAGGTGTAATATGTAACTGAGATTTGGAGTTCTGGATCCAGGGGGTGGGTGGGTTATATCTGGGGTTTATTTATTTTTATTTTTATTATTTTATCTTAGTTGTTTAATCATATATGTCTGTATATATGCATATGTATAGGTATGTATGTGAATATATATTTTATGCGCTATTTTTGTAACGTGTATATACCTATATGTATTTTTTCTTTAAAATAAAATAAAAATGTGATCACAAAAACGTTTTTTTGTTAGAATCTGGTTAAAAAGCTGCATACAAAACTTGGTTTTCTTTATGGAAATACATTATGCTTTCCCATGTTTAGTAGGAAAAGATTTGTTGACTCTACCGCACTCTGTCTTGGATTAAAGTGATGTAATATATAGACATGCTGCTGTTATCACCCTTGGATGCTGTATCACTCTGCTCTTTATTACTGGTGACTGCTACAGCACCCATCATTGTACTCTCTATGAAAAAGTTTGCTGGCCCTCCCTCTCTGTGAGAAGAGATTAACACTGTTATCTGTTATCAATGTTTATCTGCAAAGCACTCCTAAACAAATTACCAATTTACATCACTTCACTATTAGCCGTCAAGGTATGAGCCTATCAAACCTGCTCTGAGGACTGGATTACCCTTCATGTTCGCTGGGTTAATTTGGAAAGACTGCTTTTAGATTTTCAGCTTTAGAATAAACTACAATGTACTTTAAATACTGATTTCCTGATAACATTGGGAGATTTTAGAAATAAAATTAATGATTTTGCATTCAACTGCTTTAATTAGGAATCTGTTGTTAACTAACACTGATGTTTGTGTCCTTATTATCTGTCATATTTGTTATCAAATTTTTGTTTATATTGTTTATATTTGTATTTTTTACCGTCCCATTCTGTTTAGTGATTGAAGAGAAGGGGGTGAAGATGAAGCTGACTGTGATCGACACTCCAGGATTTGGTGACCAGATCAACAATGAGAACTGGTGAGTTGCAGAGAAGAAGATGGCGCTTTCCAGAATTGGCTACAATTATATTTGGGAATAATTAATTTCAGTTATTTTAGTCCAAACGAGGAAGCAACAGGGTTAATGGAAAATGTAGTCTTTATTAGACCCAAACATGTATTACCTTTATAGTTACACTGCACCAAGCAATCACAATCAGTTTGACAGCACAGATATAGCTCTCAGGTTCTTTATGTGCAAAATTAACTTTTCGCCTCTCAGAGGGATGATGGGAGAGGGATATGTAATATTTGTACATGACCTAGTCCCCCATAACACACATTATAATAGCTATATTCAAAAGGCAGTATAGAAAGATATTGTAAAAACATCTTCAAATTTAGAATTATTTTTTAGTTATTTAGTCAGTGCAGTCAGAAATGTTGCCTCAACAAAGTTGTCATATTGTATACTTGGTGTCAAATACTCAATGATGGTGTGAAATGTTTGTGACAGCTTTTTCTGTAATTATAATGGATTACAGTTACCATTTTTTGTATCCTGGTTAGGTAACAAGTAAGTTACACGGAATCTTGTATTCCTCAAGCCTGATGAAATACACATGGAATGAAAAAATATTAGATTAGATTTGTGAATAATTTCATTTGATTCACATTAACCCACAATTCAGGCTGACTATAGGCTATCACAAATGAATACAATTACCAGGATCAGGATTAGAGACTAAAAGTTGGAGCCAGTGTTTTACTATATATATTATTCAACAACAACAAATTCTATGAAAAGAGCCAACAGTGAACGTAACCAGTACTGTGTGTGTGTATCACTGCATCCTTTATCACCACAAACACACACACAGTAGTTTATTCTGACTCAGTCCCACATACTGTATCTGTTCTGCTGCCACAAATACTCTCTAGACTGTACCAAATGGGTCTTAAATGTGGACAAATGGTGAAAATAGTCCACAGCAAACTACAGTTTCCAGCTGTTTTAGGAAATGATGGAGCCTTTGTTAAAATGGAACTATATACTTTTGAGCCATTTGTAAAGATTTATGTCTTCTGTAGGAGTGAATAGGTTCTGGTCCACAGACAGAGCAGGGAAGTCAATGTTGGTTTTTGTCTGGGAATTGTTCACAATAAGAAAAATACAGAACAGTACCCACCTTATCCTGTAGAGAAATGACAGGAATGTTCTCTGCTGCTCCCCTGTCCAGCTGGGAGCCCATACTGAAGTACGTCAACGAGCAGTATGAGAAGTACCTGAGAGAAGAGCTGCATGTCAACCGCAAGAGGAGAATACCTGACAGCAGAGTCCACTGCTGCATCTACTTCCTCCCTGCCACTGGCCACAGGTCAGTACTCCTCCACTGCTGTTCAGCATCACACTACTAACACAAAGCTATTCATCTCTGGGTTATTTATCTTTCTTGTCTCGTTGTTCCACTTCAGTCAAACCTTCAGTCAAACCTGTTGAATTATAGTTAGATCACTGCACTAGTTGGTGTGAATAAATACTGTTTACTGGTGAGCTGTAGTAAATGAGTCAAATGAGTGAAATAACACCCACAAGACAAGGTTGACAAGCTGTGCCCTGCTTGTTGTTATCGTATTATCTGCTGCTTTAGCCTGCAGTGACTGGCAGCGATGTTGGTGAGCAGTAAACCCAAACTAAAGCCACAAAATCTTAATTTAGTCAAACAGAAAGAATAACTTCTAACTGTTACACTGACACAGACATTGTTGACAGACAAAGTGACATTAGCAAGTGGCAACCTCTGTGGCTGCAAATGAACCCAACACAGAAGTAACAAAAACTGTACTTCCTCTAACAGAAGTGAGTCAATCTCAACAGAAGTTTACAGTTTGGTACAAAAAACAGTTTTGGTCTCTATAGCTAATTTCCCCATTCATGACAACTGTATGGGGGTGGATTTTTATAGACCTCACCTGTTTAAATGATATTAAGACTTAAAGTTATGCATAATAAAGGTTTGCTTTGAGTGGCAGGTGGGTGTCGTCACAGGTGCCTGGTTTCAGTAACCAGGCTTCATTCAGCCTGCCTCAGCACCACCACCCTCCACCTTTTTGCTGCAATGAAAATAGACCTTTTCTATGTAGATTTTGCACTGATATCACTTTGTAAATGTACTCAGAAGGCTGCTTTCTTAAAAAATACCTTTTATTATAGAATATTTGAGTTAATTATTCTTTAATATGTTAAATCATTTAGTATACACATTGTCAACCAAATTCTAGTTAATTAATTCATGTGGATGGTCACAGATATAATCTTATCGTCAACAAGAGAATCTAAAAGACAAAATGCCAGGCATGAGTGGAGAGTGAAAGGGCAAGTGTTAGAAATTACTAAACAACAATCAGTGAACGTATCCACAGCAGTAATGAATTTCTGTGCCATGGTAAATGGTAAATGGACCTGTACTTGTATAGCGCCTTTCTAGTCTTCCGACCACTCAAAGCGCTTTTACACTACATGCCACATTCACCCTTTCACACACATTCACTCAGTGATGGCAAAGCCCATCGAACAGAAACTAATGCATTCATACATTCTTCCTCTCTCTCTCTTTCTGCACTCATTCATGTCCCATTAATGCATGTTACTAACTTGACTTCTTCCCCGGAGTTCTTGTGCTTTCTCGTCTTGCAGGTTCTCATGGATCCTGGTGGTGTCTCCTACCATGGTCCTGCTTGACTGCCATTGCTAATATCACTGATATTATTGTTATTATTATTATTAATATTATTATCACTACAGTTACTATTATTACTATACACTGCTCATTGTCCCCCATCGTTGCTGTTGTCATGTTCATCATCATCTTCTTCATGTTCATCATCATCAGTCACTACTATTAGTGTAGTTGTTGCTACTGTTGTTGCTGTGCAACTGTCTGTCTGTCTGTCTGTCTCTGTCTCTGTCTCTGTCTCACCCCAACTGGTCGAGGCAGACGACCACCCACCTAGAGCCGAAGGGTCTGTCCTAGGTTTCTGCCTTTTAACAGGCAGTTTTTCCTTTCCCCCGTCGCCAAGTGCTTGCTCATGGTGGTACTGTTGGGTCTCTGTAAATGTTATAAGGAGTTCGGTCTAGGCCTGCTCTATTTGAAAAGTGTCCTGAGATAACTTCTGTTATCGCTATACAAATAAAATTGAATTGAATTGAACTGAATACAGATTCACACAACGGTGCACAGAATTGGGAGCAATTTGGGGTTCAGTATCTTGCTCAAGGATACTTCGATGTGTGGCGGGAGGAGCTGGAGGTCGGACCAACAACCAACAATTAATTTAATTCAATTCAGTTCAATTCAATTTTATTTGTATAGCGCCAATTCGTAACAGAAGTTATCTACAGAACGCCTTATAACATTATTTACAGAGACCGAACAGTACCACCATGAGCAAGCACTTGGCGACGGGGGCAAGGAAAAACTGCCTTTTAAGAGGCAGAAACCTAAGACAGACCCTTCGGCTCTAGGTGGGTGGTCGTCTGCCTCGACCAGTTGGGGTGAGAGAGAGAGAGAGAGAGAGAGAGAGACAGAGACAGACAGACAGGTGCACAGCAACAACAGTAGCAACCACTACACTAATAGTAGTGACTGATATCAGAATCAGAATCAGAAATACTTTAATAATCCCAGGGAGAAATTACTTTCGTTACAACTCCAAATCTACATACAACATATATACATACAACATATAATATTATTAAGAAACATATATATATAGATATATAAATATATCTATATACACAAGGTAAAATGTAAAATGTACAGTTTTGTGCAGAAATGGTTGTCCGTGTTTGAGGTCAGATTACAGAGAGGGGGTGTCTGACTCTCTGAGGGAGGCGTTATAGAGTTTGATGACCACAGGCAGGAATGATTTCCTGTGGCGGTCTGTGGTGCGTCTCGGTGAGCGGAGTCTTCGGCTGAAGGTGCTCCTCTGCTGAGCCAGTGTGTCGTAGAGTGGGTGTGAGACATTGTCCAAGATAGACTGAAGCCTGGACAGCATCCTCCTCTCTTCCACGGTCGTCAGGGTGTCCAGCTCCTCCCCCACGACATCAGGAAGGGAGAGAGGACAGTCCCCTGTGGGGCTCCAGTGTTGCTGACCACCCTGTCAGACACACAGTTCTGTAGGCGTACGTACTGTGGTCTGCCCATCAGGTAATCAACAATCCAGGACATGATGGGGGCCTCCACCTGCATCTCAGCCATCTTCTCACCCAGTAGAGCCGGACAGATGGTGTTGAAAGCACTGGAGAAGTCAAAGAACATGACTCTCACAGTGCTCGCCGGCTTGTCCAGATGAGTGTAGACTCTGTTCATCAGGTAGAAGATGCCGTCCTCAACTCCCAGGCGGGGCTGGTAGGCGAACTGTAGTGGATCAGTGAAGGGCCTGACCATAGACCTTAGCTGCTCCAGGACAAGCCTCTCCAGGGTCTTCATGATGTGGGACATCAGAGTCTGTAGTCCTGAGGGCCGCTGGGACGCAGCGTCTTTGGCACAGGAACGAGGCAGCACGTCTTCCACAGCACAGGGACCCTCTGGAGGTGCAGGCTTAGGCTGAAGACTTGACTGAGTACTCCACACAGCTGGGGGGCACAGGCTTTAAGCACCCTGGGAAATACACTAAGGGCCTGCAGGTTTGCCGGAGTGGAGTCTCGTCAGCTGTCTTCTCACCAGGTCAGGCGTGAAGGACACTGTAGAGGTGACAGATGGGGGAGGGGTGAGGTTCTCAGGTTGTGGAGGACATGATGTAGAGCAGGGGGAAGGGGTGGAGTAGGTGGGTGTGAATTGAGGTGGTGAGGGGCATACAATGGTCTGTAAGGAGGAGGAGTAGGGGGAGGTAGAGTGGCAGTTGTTGTTGGGCAGCCAGCAGCAGTCTTGTGGGGGAGGGGCCGCAGTATCAAACCTATTGAAAAATAGGTTCAGTTCATTGGCCTGGTCCACACGGCCCTCCAACCCCATGCCACCAGTCTTCTGGAGCCCAGTGATGGTTCTCATGCCACTCCACACATCCCTCATGTTGTTTCACTGGAGTTTATTCTCCAGCTTTCTCCTATAATTGTCTTTAGCCTCCCTGATTTTAAGTTTGAGTACCCCCTGCACTCTGTGAACCCATCAATGTCCTCTCCGTGGGGCTCACAGAGTGCAGGCCAGTCAGTCACTTCAAAGCAGCCCTGCAGTGCCTCATAAGCCTCCTCCGACCACCTCCTCACAGTCCGTGTGGTCATAGGTTTCCTCTTCAACAGAGGCACATAGCAGGGTTTGAGGTGAACCAGGTTGTGATCTGACCTGCCCAGAGGGGGGAGAGAAGAGGAGATGTATGCATCCTTAATGTTAGCATATATCAGGTCCAGGGTCCTCTCCTCTCTGGTAGGACAGCTCACGTACTGTTTGAAAGTCGGCAGAACTCTATCCAAGGTGACGTGATTAAAGTCTCCCGACATGATGATGAGGGCACTGGGGTGTTGAGTCTGTAGTTTGGAGATGGTGGTGTGTATGGTGCTGCAGACAGATGTTGGGTTTGCAGAGGGAGGGATGTACAGAACAACGATGATGACATGAAGAAGATGATGACGACGATGACAACAACGATGGGGGACAATGAGCAGTGACAATAGTAATAATAGTAACTGTAGTAATAATAATATTAATAATAATGATAACAATCATATCAATGATATTAGCAATGGCAGTCAAGCAGGACCATGGCAGGAGGCTCCACCAGGATCCATGAGAACCTGCGAGACGAGAAAGCACAAGAACTCCGGGGAAGAAGTGAAGTTAGTAACATGCATTAATGGGACATGAATGAGTGCAGAAAGCGAGAGAGAGGAAGAGAGGAGCTCAGTGCATCATGGGAAATCCCCCGATAGTCTAGGCCTATAGCAGCATAACTAAGGGATGGTTCAGGACTCACCTGAGCCAGCCCTAACTATAAGCTTTATCAAAGAGGAATGTCTTAAGCCTACTCTTAAATGTGGAGAAGGTGTCTGCCTCCCGAACCAAAACTGGAAGCTTGGTAACTGAAGGCTCTGGCTCCTGTTCTACTTTTTGAGACTATAGGAACCACAAGTAGCCCTGCATTCAGAGAACACAGTGTTCTAGAGTGGTAATAGGGTGCTATGAGCTCTTTAAGATATGAAGGGGCCTGACCATGAAGAGCTTTGTAGGTGAGGAAGAGGATTTTAAATTCTATTAAAAATTTTACTGGGAGCCAGTGCAGAGAAGCTAGAACAGGAGAGATGTGTCTCTTTTCCTAGTTCCTGTCAGTACTCGTGCTGCAGCGTTCTGAATTAATTGGAGTGTCTTAATGGACTTATTGGGGCAACCTGATAATAAGGAGTTGCAGTAATCCAGCCTAGAAGTAACAAATGCATGGATTAGTTTTCCTGCATCCGTCTGTGACATGATGTGTCTAATTTTTGTAATATTATGTAAATGAAAGAAGGCAGTCCTAGAGGTTTGCTTTATGTGGGAATTAAATGACATGTCCTGATCGAAGATAACTCCAAGATTCCTGACAGTGGTGCTAGAGGCCAAGGTAATGCCATCTAGAGTAACTATATCTTTAGACAGTGAGTCTCCGAGGTTTTTGGGGCCAAGTACAAGAATTTCGTGTGTAACATCAGAAAATTGCAGCTCATCCAGGATTTTATGTCCTTAAGACATGTTTGTAATTTAGATAATTGATTAATTTCATCGGGCATGATCAATAAATATAACTGCGTATCATCTGCATAGCAATGAAAGTTAATGGAGTGATTCCTAATAATGTTGCCTAAAGGAAGCATATATAAAGTAAATAGTATTGGTTCAAGTACAGAACCTTGTGGAACTCCATGACTAACGGCAGTATTTATGGAAGATTCATCGTTAACGTGTAGAAACTGAGAACGATCTGATAAGTATGACCTAAACCAGCTTAGTGTGGTTCCATTAATGACAATTTGATGCTCAAGTCTCTGTAAAAGAATATCATGGTCAATGGTGTCAAATGCAGCACTAAGATCTAATAATACAAGTACAGAGACAAGTCCATTGTCAGAAGCAATCAAAAGGTCATTATTAACTTTAAACTGTCTCTGTGCTTTGATGAACTCTCAATCCTGACTGAAAATCCTTAAATAAGCTATTGTTATGTACAAAGTCACACAACTGTTTGGTGACTACTTTCTCCAGAATCTTAGAGAGAAAGGAGAGGTTAGAAATCGGTCTATAGTTGGCTAAAACCCTTGGGTCAAGCTTTTTATTGTTACCTCAATAACAAACTGGACTGGACTGACAACACCCATGCTCTCTACAAGAAGGGCCAGATTTGCCTCCACCTGCTGAGGAGACTGAGGTCCTTCGGAGTAAGCAGGGCTCTCCTCAAGACTTTTTATGACTCTGTGGTGGCTTCAGCCATCTTCTATTCTGTGGTCTGCTAGAGAGGGGGCAGTATGGACAGGGACAGGAAGAGATTCAATAAACTGATCAGGAGAGCGAGCTCTGTCCTGGACTGTCCTCTGGACTCCATAGAGGAAGTGGGTGAGAGGAGGATGTTAGTTAAGCTGACATCCATCATGGACAACACCTCTCACCCCCTACATGACCCTGTTGGGTCCCTGAGTAGCTCCTTCAGCAGCAGACTGTTACACTCACGCTGTAAGAAGGAGAGGTTCCGCAGGTCTTTCATCCCTGCCGCTGTCAGACTCTACAACACCTGATCAATGTTGTAGTTTGTGTTTTTCAAATTAGCACTACACCATAGCTTTATCACTTTACCATAGTTTATTTTTTTTATATCTGTATTTATTTCACGTAAAATGTTGCTGTAACAAGGGAATTTCCCCGTTGTGGGATTAATAAAGTAATACAATACAATAATTACAGCTACTTTAAAGGACTGTGGTTCATATCCTGATAATAAAGAAAGATTAATCATATCTAGTAAAGAAGTGCCAATTAAGGGTACGACTTCTTTAAGCAGCCTAGTTGGGATCAGGTCTAATAGATAGGTTGATGGCTTTGTTGAAGAAATTATTGAAGTTAACTGATGAAGATTGATAGCAGAAAAACATTCTAAATATATATCTGAGTTTACATTAGTTAAAGTTCCTGAACTTGGAGAGCCAGTGTTAGATGTATAGGGCATTTGGTGATTCATTTTCTCTCTAATAGTAATAATTTTATCATAAAAGAAGCTCATGAAATCATTGCTATTTAAGGTTATGGGGTTTGTGGCTCGATAGAGCTGGGCCCCTCTCTCCCCCCCGCCAGGGGGAGGGGTGTTTTTTTTTTTTTTTATTAGTGCTGAGTAATAGGCTCCTCTGGCATTTCGGAGGGCCTTTCTATAGGTTTTAAGATTATCTTGCCAAATTGAGCGATATTCTAATAATTTCGAAGAGCGCCATTGCCTTTCAGATTTCCTTGCTTTTTGCTTTAATTGGCGGGTTTGGTGGTTGTACCACGGTCCTAGTCTACTATGTTTTAATAATATTCTCTTTATAGGGGTGATAGAATCTGATGTCAATCATAGTGAGCATGCAGCACTATTAACAAGATTATCAATTTCGGAGGGACTAAAGTTGTTATAGGACTGTTATATTCAGACATGTCATTGAATTAAACATTGATGGAATCTCCTCCTTAAATTTAGCTACAGCACTGTCAGATAGACATCTGCTGTAGGAAGTTTTGCCTAATGGCTTAAAATCTAGTAATAGAAATTCAAAAGTTATTAAATAATGGTCAGATAGGAAAGGATTTTGTGGGAAGACTATTAAATGTTCAATATCAATGCCATATGATAGAACGAGGTGTGATTAAAACAATGAGTGGGTTTATTTACACTCTGACAGAAGCCAATTAAGTCTATTAATGATATAAATGCGTTACTAAGGCTGTCATTGTCAACATCCACATGAATATTAAAATCACCTACAATAATTACTTTATCTGTTTTAAGGACTAAACTTGATAAAAACTCTGAGAATTCAGATACAAAATCAGAGTACGGTCCAATAGCTCGGTACACTATAACAAACAGAACTGGCTGCAGTGTTTTCCAGTTTGGGTGAGAAAGACTAAGAATGGATGGACCTGTACTTGTATAGCTCGAATCATATATGGCTGCTACTCCACCTCCTCGGCCGGTGCCTCGAGGAATGTGAGTATCAATATGACTGGGGGGTGGATTCATTTAGGCTAACATACTCCTCGTGGGACAACGAGGTCTCAGTAAGACAAAGTAAATCAATATCATAATCTGATATTAATTCATTCACTAGAACAGCTTTGAACAACAGAGACCTGATATTTAACAGTCCACATTTCATTCTTTTATTCTTTTTCTTCTTTAATTTTTATTATTTTTGGTCGGGGGACAAACAGAGTCTCTATGGGGTTTTGGGTGGGTGAGAAGTGTGTAAGACAGCAGCTCTGCTTCCTGGTCCCAACTCTTGTCAGGTTTTAGAAATAAACGTTGTCATATTCCTGAATAAGAGAACCGCTCCGTCCAAAGTGGGATGGATGCCGTCTCTCCTAATCAAACCAGGTTTTCCCAAAAAAGGCTGCCAGTTATCTATGAAGCCCACACTGTTTTCTGGACACCACCTCGACAGCCAGCGGTGGAATGGCGTCATGCGGCTATACATGTCATCACTGGTCAGATTGGGCAGGGGTCCACAGAAAACTATGGAGTCTGACATTGTTTTTGCATAATTACACACCGACTCCACTTTTTTTTTTGACCTCCGATTGGCGTTATCGGGTGTCATTACCGCCGACGTGAATAACTATCTTACTATATTTACGTTTAGCTTTAGCCAGCAGTTTTAAATAGGATTCAATGTCGCCCGCTCTGGCCCCAGGGATACATTTAACTGTGGCCGCTGGCTTCGCTAACTTCACGTTCCTAACCTTGAGCTACCAATAACCAGAGTTGTTTCCTCAGCGGGTGTGTCGCTGAGTGGGGAAAATCTATTGGACACATGAACCTGTTGGTGGTTAGTGGACAACCCGCTCTTCCTTTGAGCCATAGACCTCCATTGTTGTCAAAACTGACCGGAAATCTGCGTTTGTTTCCAGGTTACGCCCCATTGATGTTGAGTTCCTGAAGAGGTTGGGGAAGATAGTGAGCATCGTGCCCATCATCGCCAAAGCCGACACGCTCACCATTGAGGAAAGACAGGAGTTCAAAGAGAGGGTGATGAACCACACATACACACCCGCAACTTAAGCCTCTTTTCTTCACGTCACTTTATTTTCCTCCAGATGATGTGCAAAATCCGGTCTCTTGTGTTCCTCTTTCAGTACACCATGCATCGGGCCTTCAGTGTAAACCAATTAACCGGACCTGTTTGACCTGTGTTTAACCTTTGACCCTTTAACAGATAAGGCAAGACCTAGCAGCCAATGGAATTCATGTTTACCCCCAAAAAGAGTATGATGAGGATCCGGAGGAACGCATTCTAAACGACAGGATCAGGGTAACGTTGTCTTGTCCACATGTTCTTCGATCACTCTTCATTATACTAAATATAGATGTGTGATATAGATGTGTGAAACTTCATCAAGAAAGGAAACAGAGACAAAGTGCAGTCACTCCCGGGTTTCTTATGTCATTTAGTAGTATTAGTATATTTTTTGTTTGTTTGTTTGTTTACATCCACACGGCCAATAACAGTTCACCATTATCTTATGGCCCAGGTTCTCAACTTTTTATTTTCATTTCAGGAACCCTTACACCTGGGGTCTCAAACTTAAATTGGCTAAGGGCCACTGCTGGTATTGTCATCTCAGTGGCCTTCAACATTCAAATACTAGAACAAACAGCAGTTTCTAAACATCATCATTTTTTATCATCTTTGTTGTTGACAGCCAGACAACAAATGAAAGCCCAAAAAACAAATGTTTAAAATAATCTTTTTTTATATGATGATAATTTAAATGAATGAATTGGGAAAAAAAGCATAGTGCCAAAGTCAAGATTCAAAACCACTGGTTCTCAGACTTGCCACTAGTGGTTAAAAAGTTTGAGAAACACTGGTCTATTATATTAGACTGCCATGAATCTGAGAGGACAGGAGGAAGGAATGATACTGACTGATGTCTGGAATATTATTTATTTCACTGACTTTACTTTTAAATTTGTTTCGATTGAGATTTTATTGAGTTTATAGTGACTTTTCTGTTGCAAACTCTACTGTTGCTGCTCTAGGCACAATATTTAGTTATATTTAAAATATAAATAAATTCTAATCCTGACAATTTTCTTGCTAATGTCTGAGTGTAATATGAAAAACTACTGCTGGATTGGGGGTTTTAAATAAATATTGTAATTATAACAGTTTAAAATTACGTTAAATGAGAGATTAGTGTCTGCAGGCTGCAAGTTGTTGACAGTGCACTGATACTGTAGATCTCATATGTTTGAATGAATTAATGAATCATCCTGACTGAGACATGCTCATATTGCCTGTGCAGGAAAGCATTCCCTTTGCTGTGGTAGGAACCGACAAGGAGCACCAGGTGAATGGAAACAAGGTGCTGGGCCGTAAAACAAAGTGGGGAATCATTGAAGGTAAGGCATCAGTGTAACCTTATTCACACCTGCTATTATTATTTACTGCTTAGAGTTCCCACTGTGTGCAGATTGTGAGCTCACTTTTGGCACAGCAGATGAGTAGGTGCAGCAAATGCTTCAACAGCTATAGCAGCTGCTTCAATGCAACCTGAATCAACTTTTTTTCACACAAGAGGGTTCTGACTCTTTAGTACAAATCTTCATGTGTTCTAAACTACCATTTCTCACAAGACGACACCCACACCTTACTTTGGTCAGGCATCCAGTTTCATACACCGACAGGGATGAGAATCATCCTTGTGTAAGTAGCAGATATGACATCTGTACCTGCAGCAGCAGGGTATTGTATTGGCAAGAATCTGGTAGGAATATTTCTAGCCACTGAATCTTACTGTTCCATCTTCCAAACTAGTTTCCTCCATGATTCCAAAAATTATTCAATGGGTGTGATTGGATTGTTGGATTTCAAATCAGTGGGGGGACAACAAAAGTAATATTGTACCTGATTATTGGGGCAGCTGTGGCTCAGAGGTAGAGTGGGTCATCCCCTAATCGGAAGGTTGGTGGTTTGATCCCTGGCTCCTCTCGCTGCATGTTGGTTAGTAACTTCTAGAATGTTTGAGTTAATTATTCTTTAACATGTTAAATAATTAGGTATACACATTGTCAACCAAATTTTAGTTAATTAATTCATGTTGATGGTCCAGATATAATCTTATCTTCAACCAGAGAATCTAAAAGACAAAATGCCAGGCATGTAGAGTGGAGAGTGAAAGGGCAAGTGTTAGAAATTACTAACCAACAATCAGTGAACGTATCCACAGCCTTTTATAGTAATGAATTTCTGTGCCATAGACCTCCATTGTTTAAAAACTGACCGGTGCAAGACACCCCAATTTCTCCCGATGCTGTGCATCAGTGTATGGGTGTGTATGAATGATAAGTGTGAATGGGGTGAGTGTGGCATTTAGTGTACAGTGCATTGAGTGGTCGAAAGACTAGAAAGGCGCTATATAAGTACAGTCCATTTACCATTACCATTATGATTTTATTACTAGTAATGCTTCACTGCCCAACACTGGTAACAACACACTAAATTCACGATTCGATACAAGTCACGATACTGGGTTCATGATACAATTTTCTCACTATTTGTTTTTACAAAATGAGATTTGCCAAACAATGCATATTTCCTTTTCTTTGTAAAAGTGAAACTGATTCACATAAACACGATTTATATCACATTTAATTTTTATTTTTTAGATTTTAATTTATCTCAGCGATTTTACTGTCTCATAGAAAGGCGCTATACAAGTACAGGTTCATTTACCATTTATATAACAGCTTGTGTTCATACTAGCTACAAGCACCTGTAAAACATGAAAAACAGAAAAATTTAAACTCTTCTTCGCCCTCTTAACACTCTTAACAAAAATAATGCACAGCAAACATCTGCTAAGGAGTGGGATTGAGTGATTTAAGATGCCAAGTGAAGTAGATCAGATACACAACGGACCACAAGGATCAGAGTGAGCCCTTCAATGCTTCAGCCGTAGTGAGCCACATATTCACATTCGCCTCTTTGGCCCCATTTATACGGGCTGTCGACAGCTCCATATACGTAACATCAAGAAAAGTTAAAACCCATTGTCTGATGGTCAAAGTGTGAGGGGGCTTCCAGCATACTGCGATCATTTTCTTAGCAGCTGTTAAACCTGCCAACATTACACCTTTCTGACATTCAGTGCCGAAAGATCATTTAATAATAACACTGGTATGGTCACAGGCACTGTCTCCGATATGAGTGCCGTCAGCTCAGCGGCCACACCCTGCCAAAATCAAGCAACGGGGGGGCACTCCCACACCATGTGAAGGAAAATGCCAGTAGTTTTTAATGTACACAGGGTGCATGAGGGATCATTGATAACTTTCATAAAATGTAGCTTACGAGGGGTCAGGTAGGTCCTGTGTATGAAATTATAATGGATCTGCTGGTGGTCAGGATTTCGAGAGGCGAGTTTGATATTGACCCACACCTTGTCCCAATCAAAATCCTGATCCAGTCCGGGGACATCACCCCTCCATAAGCTATCTACTGGGAGCGTTTTGTAGGTGACCTCAAGCAAGAATAAGTATAGAGTGGATACCATTCCCCTCGCAGCTCTTTCAGTAACAATCAACTCATGAAGTGGATGTGTAGGCAGCGGGTGCTGCCAAGGTACACCGTGTGCTTTAAGAGCTGCTCTCAGCTGTAAATAAAAGAAGAAGGAAGCACCTGGCAGATTGAAGCTATTCTTAATGTCTTGAAAGGAGCGTAAACCATCTAAGCCAAAAATATCACCCAAAAACTGTATCCCTCCCTTTCCCACTGAGAGTAGGTGACAGGTCTCCCCCCGATCAGTAAACCATTATTATTAAAAATTGGAGATTGCAGTTGCCATCTGCAAGATATATCATAAATCCTTTCCACTGAGCGCCAAACCTGGATCAGATGGGTCACAATGGGGCCGCAACGTAATTGACTCAGAAAATATTTGCAAATAAAACGTCTGCCAAAGACCACGGGTGCACCATTCTTTCTTCCATTGTATGCCAAGAAACTGCCGTCTAAGAGTCAAACCATATGACAAGGGGCCTAAGAGTGATGGACCAATGGTAAAGTTTAAAGTTGGGCACCGCTAATACCCCAAATCTAGTGTCCTGCGCTGGACAGTGGCAGATCTCAGGGGGGGGTCTCTTCCCATTCCATATGAATTTTGAAACAGCCGCATGAAGCTTACCCCAGTATCCCGCAGGGGGAGAGAGGGGGACCATGGAGCTGACAAAATTTATTCCGTGCTCTTTTTGACAATAGAATACGTGCCTGGGTGGTTGGGCGGCTGGCCCATCTCTAAATCACCCAAGACTTTGTTCGTGTCTCAGTATAATTCTGCTTCACAATAAGATGTAGAGAGGAAAATATTTAATGCCCAGGTATTTAAAATGTGTAACTGAGGGAATATTGGAGGCAAGCGAGGTCTTGACCACTTCATTCATGGCGAAGCTGACTTTGACCAATTGATATTGAATCCTGATAGGCAAACTCATCCAACATTGATAAGGTGGGGGCGACTGCAACGGGTCTCCAGAAAGACTAAATGTCGTCGCGTAAGTGCCCGGTGGTGTGTGTTATAACGGTTATGGGTTTAATAACCGACGATAACCGGATCTGCAGAGAAGGGTTCAAGCGACAGAGCAAACAGCGTCGGGCTCAAGGGGCAGCCTTGGCGAGATGATCTAGGTACTGGGAACAGAGTGGAACAAATGTTACCTGTAAGAACCATTGCAGAGGGGTTTGAATATAACAACTGTATCTTTTTTATAAAGCCATCTCCAAAACCCATTGCCCCCAAACCGACCACAAAAAGACACCCAAAGGGTTTAAACCCTTTTGGTCCAGGGATAAAACAGCTGCCGGGGTTTTGATGTCTGTTGCTGCATCAATTACATGCAGCAGTCGGCGGACATTGTCAGAGGCTAGACGCGATTTCATAAAGCCGGTCTGGTCATAGTGAACTAGATGATAGATGAGGTTGCAGGCGGCGGGAGATTGCCTTGGCATATATTTCAACATCGGCGTTCAACAGACTAAGGGGCCTAGATAAAGCACCTTTCTCTATTGAAAAGTGGATCATACTGAGAAGCAACAGGCCAAGGAGGTCCCAGAAGGCTGCGTAAAATTCTGGTGGTATGCCGTCGAGCCCGGGTGATTTGCCCCTTTGCATACTGAGCACAGCCTTTTTAAGTTCTTTAAGAGAAATCGTTTTTTCTAAATCATTCGCCTCCTCCACTGCAAGACGAGTTAACTTCAATCGAGCCAAAAAGTTGTCACATTTGTCTTTGTCGAGAGATATGTTTGATGTGTACAGGTCAGAGTAAAAACTACGAAAAGTGTTGTTGATCTGCGTCGGGTCAGTGGTGACAGCTCCTGACTGTAATTTGACTGGTGAGATATCTGAGAACTGCTCATTTGACCTAATCTTCATCGCCAACAGGTGGCTGGGCCTTGACCCATGAAAACAATACTGTTGCCTGGTCCTGTGGATTAAAAACTCTGACGTCAGAGGATGATTTTAATATCCTTTTTGACCACCTCACGCTGTGAGACTATCTGTTCCGAGAAATTGGCAGACAACACAGATTCTAGTTTTGCTAGTTTGCATTCCAATTCATGTAACTTAGAAATCTGGGCCTTGCGCTGGTTAGAGGCAAACAGTGTGGCATTACTCCTGATAAAACCTTTAATTGAGTCCCAAAGTATTATAGGATCATCGACCGAGCCTAGGGATGCACCGATCCACATTTTTTCACTTCCGATCCGATCCCGATACCTGAATTTGGATATCGGCCGATACCGATACTATTCCGATACCAGAGCTCTGTTTTCTTTAATATTATTATTATCATTATTGTTGATTTTATATGAGATAATATGAATAAACTCCTCAACAGGCAAGTATGATATGTACGTATGTATGCATGTATGTCCCAGAAGGCAACTTGAGGTAAGCATAAGGTCAGAAAAAGAAGGAAAAATCCCATTCTGAAAACAAATATGCAACTGTAAGGGTTTCAAATTGATTGTCATGTCAATATTTATTAAATTCCCCAAATGTCAAATATTTGAGTCTTGAAATATAAGAAAAGTGCAATAAGTGTAAACATCTCACACACACACACTATCAATAAAACAGTCTGCATCTGAACAGCACAGATCAAGTACACTGGCTCTTGTAGTATCAATAAATCAAGGTTTTAAAATGTCAATTATCTGCAATAACTGTAAACATCTAACGCACGCACGCACACACACACACACACACACACACACTCGGTAATCCCTTTAGCTTTCATGTTGTCTGCCTGGAGTTTACCTTGTTTTTGGAATGACTCCAGAAGTGATTCCTGACAGCTCGCCTAAAAAATCCTCGTGCTGTTTCGTGTGGTGCTTTCTTTAAATGTTTGATTGCATTCGTAGTGTTGTATGACGCGAGGGAGCTTCCGCGTCTCTGAATTACGGCTTTGCAAACATTGCATTTTGCTGTCTTGCTCTGCGGTGTTTCCAGTGTAAAGTATTTCCACACAGCGGACATGTTGGCTAGCCACAATGCTGCTCAATGCTATCCAGCTAGCTGGCTGCAAACTGAGGAATGGATTTCCTGAGCGGAGGCGTGTCTCTTAACTCTGTGTCTCATTGAGCCGCACCTCCGTTCAGGAAAAATGTTAAAGCGCAGACATGGCTCATGGATATCGGAAATCTGCGCAGGTTGGATCGGGAAAATCCGATACGTGAATTATGCTGGTATCGGTCCCGATACCGATACGGGATCGGATCGGCCCCATCCCTAACCGAGCCAACATTGAACTCCAAGAATTCCCTAAGCTTTTCTGTAAATTGTGTCCTAAATTCCTCCTGTTTCAACAGGGTTGTGTTGAGGCGCCCTCTCGGTGCGCGAGGGGAAGCGCTGTTGAGCATCGCTGAGCAAAGCACACCTTTATGATCGGAGAGGGCTATGGGAAGCAGAGATACATTTTGAATATTTTGAAAGAGTTTAGGGGATGCAAATATGTAGTCGATTCTTGAACAAGATTTGTGTCGAGCAGAGAAAAAGGAGTAGTCACTGATTGATGGATTCGTCTAACGCCACAAATCTGTGAGCCCCAGGCTTTAGCCCAAGCCTGTAAAGCTGCGGACGCCAGTTTCTGATCCCTTGTCTCAGATTTGCCTGTCCTGTCATTAGCTGCCCTCCAAACCGGTTAAAGTCTCTCCCCACAATGAACAAATAATCACTCAGCTCCAGCATACTATTTGTCAAATCAAAACAGTTTGGTGCATACACGGATATGAAGGCTATTTTCCTGTTACTAATTTCTGTCTTAACAATTGTCAGCCTGCCCTCTGTATCAGACCATGTGTCTTGGATTTAAATTTTAAAGCTATGTCTGGCTACGATAGCCACACCCTTGGTCTTTGTACCAGATGTGGAGGAAGCTATGACATGATAACGCAAGGCGTCTAATATCAGCAGCCAAGAGATGCGTCTCCTGTACTAAAGCAACATCAATTCTCCTCCTGCGTAATAAACCCAGAGTGCTAATCCTTTTGTGAGGGCTATTCAAACCGCCTGCGTTCCAGCTCAAAATATTAATTTCAGGCATAATTTAGGGTGTTGGCCTCTATAATTAATGCCGACAGAGACATGAAGACAGCACCTGTGACCATCTGAAAAAATGAACCCAGACAGACAAGTATACAACTTAATCCAGTCAAGCCCCTCTCCCTCCATACAAAAAGAAAGTAACCCTCCCCTATTACTTGGCTCCGTGACCATAGTCAGAAATTGGGCAGCAATAGGACAGCAGTCGCTAGCCTCCCCCCTCCCCAGATTAAAATTACAAAGCAAAACTATCCAAAGAAGTCATCCCTTCAATACTTAAAACTAGATGCATAAACCATGCAGAAAGGGATGTACTGAACTATTTTAAATGTCTGCGATATACAACACAAAGTATGGTATAACTGTCATTTCAAGTATGAGACTAAGGCAGCTGTCTTACCATTATATGCATTAGCTGCACCAGAAGTATAACTGAAAACTGCCCCATAGGGTGAGGAAATGCTCCTCTAATCTTGTAATAAACTATTGATGAATCAAGTCTATCAGGAAATGATTGCAGTGAAACGGTACAACACTCAAGTAGATCGAAGCAGATAACATTGCACAATTATTTCGTGACAGAAGACACCACCTTATGACAATAACAGAAACTCGTAGTGACTGGGGATTATCTAGAATTGTGATGAGCAAAACAAAATAAATAGAGCAACTCAGGCTGTCAATGAAAACAACACAAAATCCCCAGGTGCGATTGTATTATAACAAGGGATTAAACCTGCATCTAGGAAGATACCCAGGCCTGAGACTAAACAGTCACTTTAATATAAGGTCCAAAAAAAAGGCAGTCAAGTGTTATGTGCATGTTACCTTGTTTCAGTGTTCATTATAACACCCACAACTCGAGCAGGCGCTTAAAGTCAGAAACAATAATTGAGTGTGGAGGAGAAAGAAAAGATCATCCACCGTAATCCGTTGTGGCATACACCCTGTCAAAAAGGGAAAGTGGCTGAGTGCCAGCTGTGAAGATAGTCCGTGGCGACTCCAAGAATGAAGGAGAAAATGAAATCTTAATCAGTCCACAGACTAACTTACTCCAGGAAGATTATGAGTTGACGAGTCTTATATCCATCCATTAGCGATCAGGGGCTGTTATGGGTCCTCCGCCGCCGCCGCCTGTGAGGTGTTGGCCCGGGTGTGCCGGCGGGGACCTCTCCTGCGTCGTCATCGGTCGGGAGTTGAGGAAATCCTCTGCTTCTCTGGGGTTGTTGAAAACACGATATTCCGGCCCAGCTTTGACTTTCAGGGTCGCCGGGTAAAGGAGAAAAAATTCAACTCCTCTTTCTCGCGCGGTGTCCATCGCCTGGGTGAATGCCTGTCAGCGAATTATCATAATTCCCATTGGCTGTGATAACATTTGAATTGCTGCCAAATTGGGTCATGTGCATATTTAATTAGGCAGATACACAAGTCTCCACTGTATCTGCAGAACTGATTAGTCCAACACAAGCTTTATTATTATTATTATTATTATTATTATTATTATTATTATTGTTATTGTTATTATTATTATTGTTATTTATTATCAGTTAACTTTATGTAAATGGCTGTTTTTGAACATAAAATAAATATTTTTCTCTTTTCACAGTTGAAAATGTGGCGCACTGTGAGTTTGCCAACCTGAGAGATCTACTCATCAGGTAAGTTTGGCAACAGTGCTACACTTGGTTCATGATGAAAGAGACAGGGTATGAGGATATAGATATATCTCAGTATTTGTAGGATATGAGGGTACATCTTTTTAGAGGGAAAAATTCACCAATATAGTGAATCTTTGAAAATAGACCTCTTCTTTGTGGATTGTGCACTGATATGACTGTAAAGGTACTCAGAAGGATGCTTTCTTAAACAAATAACTTTATTAAATAATTAACTTAAATATTCTTTAACATGTTCAATAATTTTACATTATATTACTGCATTAAGCATTTTTCTGCATTATATACCATTGAGCTGATTTATTATTTTTATGGGCAGAATCTCAAGGCACGGCTGAAGTGTGGAAAGTGTCCTGTATGGGGATCAGTTATTTCTTGTGATTGCTAGATCAAGTTTAATTAAATTTCTCAGGGATTGGCATGACATCATGTCATAAATTTAAAATGTATCACTTCTTATAGAATGATGGGGAGTTTGATGAATTACATGTTGTTTTAATCCAGTGTATCAGATAGAGAGTAGCAAAATGAACGTCAAGTTGTAAATCTTTTCTTTTTTTGCAAAGGTCTCACCTTCAGGACCTGAAAGACGTGACACACAACATCCACTACGAGACCTACCGCGTACGCCGGCTCAACGAGAGCAACATGGACTTCAGTGAACTGGGCCTGTCCACCTGGCTGCTGGAGAACGGAACTGCCGACAAATGGGAATCAGAGAGCCACCTCTGATCTCTCCATCAGCCTCCTCCTCCTTCCTGCACCTGCCAGACGAACACCGACGTTCCTCGTCCAGTCAGAATGAGAGATGGGGGGGGTATTTCACTCCCACCACACACACATTTGAAAATGAGATGGAGAATAATTTTTTTTTTTATTGTTTTTCCGTTTTTTTCATTATGGGACCATCTAGTGGATTGTTTTTAAATGAAAAATTCTATTCTGGGTTTTTACATTAAGACATAAGAAATGTATCAAATATGGATATATTTTTGACTGTGAGCTCATATATATTTTTTGGAAGGATGGTGACAGTGTACAGGGCAGGCTAGCAGCAGGTAGCACAATGTGGCACAAAGTCTCTCAATGGTATCTAAGCATGTTGCTATATAAATGCTACACAAAAATGTGGACAGTCCAGACCTCACTGTATCACCTAACAACAGTGTTATAGAAGCAGATCATATGTGGGAAAAGGCTGTCCGTAAACATTTAGCAATCATTCTTGCTTAGGGTAAATGTGTTTAGATGTGAATCTAAAGACATTGCTTTGAATTAATTTAAGAACACAGAGCAACCAAAATAGTCACAGCATGTAAATCAGGTAAATTAACCCCTCTAACAAAAACTCTTGCTGCGCCAAGCTGCCCTGTTCATTTTGACCATATCTGTTTTTAACAGTACTGTTGTCAGGTCAGACAACACGTTATGGAGAGGTGGACGATGTGTAGGTTTGGTTGCTTTATAAAAAGATGGCTGCCTTTTATACTTCTGAGCTGAGCTATAACTGACTGTAGGGAATATAAACTAAATGATTAGACTGTAGGATTCTGGAGGACATGCTGTATTGTATCCTTCGTTTACCCCTCCAGGTGTCCACATTTGCCTGCCCTTTTCCTTCACATTTCCATGTCCAGATTCCATGTATAAAATTGAAGATGCTGTTTATGTCCACATTTAAGTGCCAAAACTACAGAAAAATGCTTTATTTGTTCATTCTCTGACACTTTTAAAGAGTAACTACACCCAAACAGTTGACACACATAGAACAACCCTAGTCATTATGTCAACAGTTGAGCACATAATGGACTAGTGAACTAGTAAAAAATCTTGCTCAGTATTCCACCAGTGGATAAAATGAGCAGAAACGTAGACTCACTCCGTGGATTGCTGAAGGTGTGGACACCGACTTTGCAAGATCTTTTTCAAATTTCATCAGCCAAATCAGGTTCTAAATAGGTTAGTTGATGATGATGTGATTTGTGGTGTTTTCCATTTATTATTTTTCAGTTTTAGTGACTTTTATTATTCTTTTATCCAGCTCTGCAGCCCCTTGAACAGGCATCTGACTTCCCCAGATGCGACCTCTCTTTCTCTTTTTTGCGTTCATTGCTCATTTAAAACAAAGGGACAGCATAAAAACGGCGTAGTTAAAGCTGCAGTAGATAACTTTTATAAAAATAACTTTTTGTCATATTTGCTGAAGCTTTGACTATTACCTGGCAGTAGTACAGCATAGAGACAGATAATCTGTGAAAAAATCTGGTTCCTCTGGCTCCTCCTAGTGCTCATAATGGCATTTACAAGAATCCACTGGGCCTGAATGAAAACAACCAATCAGAGCCAAGAAAGATAGGTCTCATTCCCCGGGGCGTCAAATACAGACACATTGGGACCCTAGGAATGTGACTCAACAATCAACTATATTCAAGCCTCCAACCCAAAGCGTCTTTCTATTCTTCTCTGATTGGTTGTTTTCGTTCAGGCCATACCATTAGGAGCACTAGGAGGAGGCAGAGGAACCTGATTTTTTCACAGATTATATGTCATGTGTACTACCGTCAGGATATAGTAAAAGTTTCAGCAAAAATTACAACAAAGTAGTTTTATAAAAGTTACCTACTGCAGCTTAAAGTGGTTCATAGGTTCACGTCTGTTGCATCTCTAAACAGGCCAGGCGTGGTAAGTTGTGACCACACCCAACTGTGAATGTAGCAGTGCACTGTGAAGTGCTGTAATGTGCATGGTGCGCCTGGGTGTAGTTGTCTACACGACTCTCAATGGGTCGTAAATGGCTGGTTTAGTGTGGAGGAAAAAGCCCAGATGGATAAAAGATATATTTTCAGATTCATCAACATTAGTGTAAGCATGGCCTGTTACATTTTTAGTGTCACTAGTTGTGTGTTGCTATTGGTGTTGGAACTAGCTAGCTCCACCCTACCTTTTGTAACAACGTTATTAATATAGAAATGGCTTGTGGAGCAACAATGGTGCATTATTGACACAATAATTAGACTTTTTTTTTTTACATAGCAGGAAAAGTAACCATGGCGACCTGTTCAAGAGTCCCAGTGAGCCACGACAGTGTGACGTGAGCCAGGTTGCACCCTGAAACTGAAGGAGCTAAATGGAATTCAGCCATCATTCATGTGATTATCTACACCTGTACTTTTTCCTACTGTGTCACGTAAAATTTTCGTCAGCAAAAATGCAACTAGTATGTCAAGATTACCACTGTACAGTTTGAACTTTACATGATGGCTTGTGAAAATTATTGTTATGGTTAAGATGGCAAAGCCTGCTCAGCTGTCTTTCAGTAGATAAATGAAGATTTAAATATATTTTTAGAGAACCTAGAGAACCTTTCTGTTACCTAAAGCTGCAGTAGATAACTTTTATAAAATATAAAATATATTAAAAAAATATATAAAAGACTGTAGAACATGAGAGAGATAATCTGATGATCTGTCTCATGAACTACTGTCTGGATAAAGTGAAATTTTCAGCAAATACGACAAAGTTGTTTTATAAAAATTACCTACTGCAGCTTTGACTCAACATATTTCAGAGTGATGCTCTATATAAATATGCATGAGCAGTGTTTAAGAATAGTACTCGGGAAATGGCAACACTCAAGCATGATCAGGCTCAGCATTGGTCTCACCTTTTTACGTTGCTTAATTTTTTTCTTCATAACTCAACTCAAAGCTCAACTACCTGGTATCGAAAATGTCACTTTCCCTCTGAAAGCCACCTGTCGTCACTAGTGACACCAAACCCTTTGCAGTTGCATTCCACTTTGATCAAATACAGCATGTCAGATATTCAGTGTTACTGTCCTCTTAACTTCCTGACCCTATGTGTTAACCTCCCACCCATGTGTCTTATACTCAGCGTACTAACAGTTTGATTATTGTCTTTGTTTTTTTATAGTATAAATGATACACATGTTAACACTGTCGATTTACAATTAAATACTTGTCACCTTGTCAGTCCAGTGTGAAGTCATTGTAATGAACCTACTGAATCAAAAGAACCCCTGTTCACTTTGTGTGGGATTAGGTTTTCACAACAGAGCCGGTCCAAAGCAAATTTCTGCTAAGGGGCCCTCCTACCTGACCCGTAAGTCATGTAAGCCCCTGCCACAGTCACACCTGACACCCCACTGCTCCCACTAGAATCTGCCCTCCTTTAAAATGGTTTGCTCCATCAGTCTGTCTAAGAAAAAGGAGACCTATACAGAACAGAATTTTAACATTAAAATAAGTTAGAAATTCTATTAAATATAAAATGTAGAAATTAATAAAATATAACACTGAGCTTTGGCTATACAATGTAAACATAAGCCTATAGGCTCTGGCAGCAGCTTTAAGTCTCAGAATATCTGCATCAGGCAAAATACTAAATTATATATATTATAAATATTAGTATTATTTCTACTAGTATATTTGTTGCTATTGTTGTTGCTGTGCACTTTTGTCTGTCTGTCTGAGGTTTCTGCCTTTTAAAGGGATGTTTTTTTCCTTACATTAATAAGGAACATCCCTGATTTCAACTATCTAAATGAACTCTCAATAAAATAATAATTAAATAAAATAATCTCAGTAGGAGACAGGTCCTATCTTGCTGCCCAATTTGTATTAACTTTCCACAACCTGAGGGACAGTGAGTGATCTAGACCAGTGCTTCCCAACCTTTTTCCTCAAAGGACATCTTTTCTAACATTTAGTAAACTGACAACCCCTGACTAAGAATTCAATTCAATTCAATTCAATTTTATTTGTATAGCGCCAATTCGTAACACAAGTTATCTCAGGACACTTTTCAAATAGAGCAGGTCTAGACCGAACTCTTTATAACATTATTTACAGAGACCCAACAGTTCCCAGCTACACAGCAACAACAGTAGTAGTGACTGATGATCCAATCCAATCCAACTTTATTTGTTAAGCACTTTAAAAACAAACAGAGTTGACCAAAGTGCTGTACAGGAGAATAAATAAGACATCATAAATGTAAACAGTGATGGTGATGATGAAGACCACTGTGAGGAACATAGACAGTGATGGTGATAACACTGGAAAGTTCCCGTGGCAGATAACATGGACGTAGTCCGATGGCGACGAGCTCGATGTCCGGGCTGCAGACGCTCTTTCACACAGACGTGCCCGGCGTTACACCACCTGTTGTTTATGAGCACGGACAGTCCCCCTCCTTTCTTCATGCCGGTCGCGGTGGTGTCCCTGTCGGCTCGAACCGTCTGGAAGCCGGGAATGGTGACGTTGGAGTCCGGTATCTGCTCGTGTAGCCACGTTTGTAGGGTTTAAAGCTCCTCTTCTTCATCCTCCGTTTAACCCCCGCTCTGCAGCCTCACCGTCTCCTCAGCTCCTCCGGTATGGAGGGTCTCTCTCCGGTCAGGATGCTAGGGGTCCTCAGGGCGATCATCTGGTCGCGGGTGTAAACAATGCGACTCCCCGTCGCCATGGAGACCCGTGCAAACAAAAATAAAAAGTGCTCAAAAACGCCAAAAAAGTATTTAGGCGACGTGAACAAAGTAGTAAGAAAGTAAGAAAACAGTTAAAAATAGCAAAAAACACACTGAAAACACACTAAAACTACAACAATGATAGGAGCTGCCATGATGATGAACATGAAAAAAAGATTAAGAATCATACAGACTTAATAGACTTTCTTTTTGACAAATTCATGTTTTCCAGTCTCTGATGCTTCGTCATTGTTCTATTCGACAATTTACTTTACATTTACATTTCATGACAGAAGTGAACTTAAGGCGGAGGTACAGACCTACTGTTTTTTATTTTTCTAGCACTGCTCAAAATCAAGAAGGCCTCTCGACCCCCTAATGAAGCTTTGGCGACGCCTATTTCCCAGATTGGGATTACCCCACTAGAACACTATGTTCTCTGAATGCTGGGCTACTTGTGGTTCCTATAGTCTCTAAAAGTAGAACAGGAGCCAGAGCCTTCAGTTACCAAGCTCCTCTCCTGTGGAACCAGCTTCCAGTTGTGGTTCGGGAGGCAGACACCCTCTCCACATTCAAGAGTAGGCTTAAGACATTCCTCTTTGATAAAGCTTATAGTTAGGGCTGGATCAGGTGAGTCCTGAACCATCACTGATTTTGATAAAACTGGATAATACTATTTCAATACAATTCAATTCAATTTTATTTGTATAGTGCCAATTCATAACAGAAGTTATCTCAGGACACTTTTTAAATAGAGCAGGTCTAGACCGAACTCTTTATAACATTATTTACAGAGACCCAACAGTTCCACCATGAGCAAGCACTTGGCGACAAGGGCAAGGAAAAACTGCCTGTTAAAAGGCAGAAACCTAGGACAGATCCTCCGGCTCTAGGTGGGTGGTCGTCTGTCTCGACCAGTTGGGGTGAAAGAGACAGAGAGAGAGACAGAGAGAGAGAGAGAGAGAGAGAGAGAGACACAGACAGACAGGTGCACATCAACAACAGTAGCAACAACTACACTAATAGTAGTGACTGATGATGATGAACATGACAACAGCAACGATGGGGGACAATGAGCAGTGACAACAGCAACAACAGTAACCATAGCTATAATAATACTATTATATAATAATAACACTAATATCAGTGATATTGGCAATTGTAGTCAAGCAGGACCATGGCAGGAGGCTCCACCAGGATCCATGAGAACCTGCGAGACAAGAAAGCACAAGAACTCCGGGGAAGATTATTATTATTATTACATATCACATTGTTAGCACAGGTGCTTGGACCATGGGAGGAGGACGTTCTCAAGTCTAGGACAGAAATGCTGATGGAGAAAACCAGACCTGGGAAACCAGTATCAAGCAGTATCATGCCTAAACCGGAGCTGAGCTAGTGGGAAATGCAACCAGCTTCTATGGGCATAGCTAAGGGCAGAGGCTCAGAGACTTAAGTTAGGGCAGGATTCTCATTATCCACCCTTTCAGCCTTTGTACCTGTTGGCCTGGAGTACCCACTAGACCTGCTGCTGTGCTCTGTGTAGGCGCATTGATGTTTGATGTGAGATTTTACTCTGTGAGGGTTCCCTGTGAACTCTGGTCTTCTTGCTTCTGTCAGCCTTCACAAATTGTTGCAGTTTACCATCATTTTCCTGTTCACTGTGAACCATAGTGCCTATATCTAGGTCACTCGATTGTAACTGAACAGGTTGATGTGGTTGAGAGCTCCAGAAAAGGATTGTACAGGAAGTAGACCTTGAGTTAAGAATATTTGGTCTAAAGATACATATTGTCATTAGATGTGTAACCAATGTGGTGCCACCCTGTACTTTCCAATGATACATTTCATTTGCTTTAAGTCCACGTGTGGGAGGCTGTGGCTCAGAGGCAGAGCAGGTTGTCCCCTAATTGGAAGGTTGTTGGTTCGATCCCAGGCTCCTTCTCACATGTCAAAGTATCCTTGAGCAAGATATTGAACCCCAAATTGCTCCTGATGCTGTGCATCGGTGTGTGAATGTGTATGAATGCGTTAGTTTCTGTTTGATGAGTGAATGTGTGTGAAAGGGTGAATGTGGCACGTAGTGTAAAAGCGCTTTGAGTGGTCGGAAGACTAGAAAGACGCTATATAAGTACAGGTCCATTTACCATTTACATGTAATATAATATCATGACATCGACTTGTCAATCAATCTTCAACTAGTAGCAGAGCAGAGTAACAGAGTGAAGTTTCATTAGTTAGTTGCCAGCAGCATGGCTTAATATTGGAGCGTTACTGGAGTGTTTGTGGGGGCTGAGCCTCACTGATTAATGTACCAAAGCACAACTTTATCAGTAATTTTGGAGAAACTGGATCATATTTTATGGAACTGGACTCAGCAACCTCCCAGTGAACATGGCTGGACCAGGACTGAACATAGCCTCTGAGACAGACAGAGGACATCATAACGACAGCGTTACCAAGGAGATTTACAGAGTTTCCTGATGAACTTGTTGCTAAAACAAGCTAACAGCTGCAAATGGTAATCTTAGCTGCCATTAGCTAGTTTGCTTGTGCAGCTAACGTTAGGTGACTCAGCCCCAGGGTGGCAGGAGCCAAAACCCACAAAAAAACCCGCCTCTGTACTGTGTTCAGGTCAACAGTCACTCTGTCAGCATTAGATGCTGTATTTGGTCCTTGACTGGCTGTAGTTGTGAAAAGTCATATTGGTGTGATGTGATCGTATGACTAAATGCTTTTTTCGAAAACTTTATAACATCTGCATGTACCACAAACACCAAGCTGGTCATCAGTGCAAAGGTGGTCTTCAGTCAAAGTAAAATCAGTACAGGCACAGGTGGGCTAAACAAATCACACAAATTTTGCCAATTTCACATTATCAGTAAACTTGTCAGTATTTATTTTACTGCTTACTTAAAGTTGTGCTGTACAAGGGTTGTAACAAAATGGTGACAGATGTAGACCAAAGACTGTAGACAGTAAAATAAGTGACAGGGATTATTTACCTTAGAAAATGTACCTTAGAAAGGTTTGTTGTTAGTTGTTTGTAGCTGAGAAATGCATGACTGTGCATGTCAGAGTTCATGATATGTAAACGTACATTTTAATCCTTCAGAAGCTCATTAAAAGCAAAAATACTGAAAGAGCAGAAAACACATTTGTGTTGATCAGTTATCAGATTGTGAGTGAGGGTTTGAGAGTGTTGGAACTGAGCTGTTGTGTGGAACACATTTTAAAATGTTTTTATGGTAATAAATGATTCACTTCAAACAAATTCATTATTGACAACAGTCAGTCCATCTTTTGGTCATTCAATTTTCTTTTCAGAAATGGTTATAAAAAACCAAAAAAAACCAAGGGATTGTTTGATTTTAATTAAAATACAACAATTAAGATTTTTCTCTTTCGTGGTCAAAAAGGGACCATGAACAGGACTCCATTGAAAACTACCTTAAAAAAATATGACGATACGTTCAAATATGAGGAAATTATGAATGGTATAATGTAATTTGAGCTGACTTTCCCTCAAATGTTTTATTATGGTTGTATCAAATTAGGACCTATTTGGTGATTTCAGGCCTTGTTTTGCCTTGTCTAAAGTCATATCAGTGTATGGTTCCATTACATATACATTTTAGTCTGAGCTAAAGCAACACTGGCACACTGGCATGGCGCTCTTGCCTTGTAAATCACCACATCCAGTCATCAGAGTTTAGTTTTCTAGTGATTTAAAATGTTTCTTATATGATATAGAAAATGATAAACAAACCATTTTGAAAATCACCATCATACAATACACATTGTATTTCAATTTTAATTATTGTATTTCAAAAGGAAAATCATTTTTATCTGAAAATAAAATTGAATGACCAAAAGAACCAACTCTGCGGTATTGATGTTTATAATGACTTGACTTTTTCACATCAAAATTGTTTGCATGCTGACAACATAATAATTTAAAATAAAATATTCTGTCTAATAAGAATAAATTATTCCGTCTAATTAGGCATTTTAGTTCTCCCAAAGAAAAATAATTTTATCAGATGCAGCCAATTATTTATAATTCCATGGCCAAACTAAAAACAAGGAAACAGTAATGAACACCTATCAGTTAGTGATGCTTCCAGGTGGTGGCCTTCATTTATAGCATAAAAGTCAAATCCAAAATCAGCATTTCAGCACACTTGCCATGTTAAGTCTTAAGCCAACCATAGCTAGTGAGCGCAGAGCTAATGCTAAAGCTAATTTGCTGAATCATGCTCAAAACCTCTTCAAATAATTATTTTTCCTTTTCAATAATTTTGTCAGTAATAAGCTTCCATAGATTCCTCATCTTCACCAAATCAGAGATCTTTGTCACTTTAATGGACAGTGTAAACATTGCTTAGCCATGACAGAGGTCAATCTCAGACTTCAAATGCTTTTATGTATATCAGACTCTGTATTTCCACATTCAGGACAATGACAGTAAATATAACTTGTCACCATTGTTTATACCCTTATTCTTAATGATGGACCCAACAGCAATACAAAGTTGACACACATTTGCACAGAGGAAAACATACTCTTGTGCATTATGAAGATTTAAAAACCTTAAGTCAGTCTTAATGATGTTAGCGGTCACTGGTGTCTAAAAGAGTTAAATATGTAATAGGTAGATTATTTCACTCAGGGATCTGAAATGTCAGAAAAACAAACAAAACAAAACAAAACCAGTGATCAGTGCATAAGCTAATTCAGGCCCAAATTTGAAGCAAGTCCCATAAAACAAAATCCTTTGAAAAATGTCTCTTCAATAAATAAACCACGAAAATAAGACACAAATGAATTTAAATAAATAAATAGATAAATAAATAAATATACTTATGTACAAAGAAGAGATTCAGAACAACCTCTGAAATGAGCCAACGCAGACCAACTAAAAACATGCATGGTCTGCCGTGTCTGTACAGTACACACCCAGTCCATTTCAGTGTGTCAGCGATCAGCTAGAGGCAACAAGCCACATTTTATGCGCTGCTGCAGATGCATTTGGCACAACCTAATACTGGCTGACACTGATCCAATCCTGTCAGTTGGCAGTCAGCACATCCGAGGACACGTAAGAGGCAAAAAGCAGCACAGCGGCTCACTGTTGGGCTCATTAATTTCCTTTTAATATCAGATGATCGCGGGAAAGAAACACGACTACTGGCTTTAAACTTATTTGTTTTTCCTTTGAAACATCAATAATTGATGTTAAATAAATACTTTCGTTTTTAGGGAACTTTACTATTTTTCCTTCTTACCCATAGTCATACAAACTTTCGGATGCCCTTCTGTATCAGTTTAGCAGTACAAATGCATGTTGAGTGCAAAGCTTAGCTTAGCTTAGCTCAGTTAATTGATGCTAATGGGAATCTATCTTACCATTCACCTTAACTCTTCTTCCATGTAAGTCTATAAGTGACTAACCTGTTTGTTTACAACCTGTCTGATGATCTGGCGGTAGCTTTCCCAGATCTTAGCTACTAGCTTTGTGGATACACTGTATTACTGATAAAATTATCCTTTAAGACAGTGGCTCTCAACAAGGGAATCAAGGGGGTCGCAACATAATTTCCAGGGGTGATCAAATGGTTGTGAAGAGTAAAATAAAATAACATATTGTGGATTATATACTATAGGCTATACTCTTCTGTCATACTTGTTAACAGGCCCAGTTACCTCATGATAATGTACTTCTTTCTATCATTGTTCTTTTAGGCCTAAAGCAGACATCTTGACTGTTGACTGTGCCATTATTTCAGTAAATCTAAAAAAATTAAAGCTTCTTATGTCTGTTCCTCTGTCTGTGGGCAAAGTAATTGTCTTCCTCTGTTCCTGCATTGGTGGCTTTCATACGTTATATTCCAGTAATGCATGAAGAGTTTCGGGCAGATGGGGGAGTCGCAAATATCAACCCGATTATTATGTGGGTCACACCTTTAAAAGGTTGAGAACCACTGCTTTAAGACAGTGAACCTTTCAGGCATAAGCTCCTCCTTGACTGTGTACCCCTGACAACAGACTGCATCTATTCAAATGGTCATTTAGATTTAGGGTAGAGGCATAGATTGTATAATAAATAGTGGATGGAGTGTTCGGATTTATAAAATGATGCCAATGCGGTGTCTTAAATCTGCATTCTTTCTAATGACCAGGAGGGGGCAACCAATGGAACTGTTGAACATGTGATGTAATAAAAAATTAGCCTACTTGTTGATTTAGCTCAGTAAACAGTTTCTTAATGAGTTTATGGTATCAATAATGCCATAATGCCGAACTCGAGGCTTCAAAACGGCACTCCACAAACCAATGGCTGAAGTGATGATTCACACTTTCTCAGAGGTGGTATGCTGCATTAGTTCCCATTAACATTTTAAGCTTAGGTTTACGTACAATACATTTCAAACTGCTGTTTGTAACACTGCAGTGTTTCTGTAGATCAATGTATGCTTCTAACCATGCATAGGTTGGTTTCCTCCCGACTTGCCCAACAAAACAGGACTAAACATGTCTTAAAGGCTACTGCAAAATGCTGTTCACTATAGAGAGAAAACACTCACCAAGACACACATTGTTACATCAAGTGTATCCCATCAGAAGAGTCAACAAGTAACAGGTTGAGAAGCAACAAATGGGAGAATCTTTCGCTTGTCTTTAGCTCACATTTGTACTTACAAAGCCCAGTTTTCCTTAGTTTCATATAAACTTACTTCTTAGTTTGCTGTGATAATGTAAATGGCAATTGTAATGTCACTTTTAATTCAAACATGTAGTGCACTGACTTCTGCTAACAATTGTATGGCTGATCCCATGTACATCAATTCATTGAGCTAAGCTAGGCTAAATATGATTTCAAACATAAACATAAAAAGGCTGTTCCTGAGTTTCTCTGACTCTGGTTTAGCAAGAAAATTTGTAGATTTACCACAAACTAAATCATCTCTTAAAAACGTCCACATTTACAAGAGTCCTGAGCTCCTGGCCTGTAGGACACTGTAAGAACTGCTCTAATATTAAATACTGAAATCCCATAGTCTCCCTTACCTTTGAGGTAACCTCACCTTACAAAAGGGGGTCACACAACGCATTTGCAGCTTCAGGGCCACACAAGTTCAAATTCAACACTAAACATTATGTGTTTCAATTAGCATTTAAAGGATGGAAACAAGAGTTTATTTCCAAAATCAGCTGTACCCCCAATTTGGACAAAACTACCTCACCAATAGAAAGGTTGCTTGCAAACCTCCCTCTGCTATTATTATTGAAGTTATTTATTAGTTTGAGTCCAGAAATATCAAGTCATCACTTCCAGTTTAAGCCCTACAGTCGCCTTGCATTTTATCCTCCACAGAAGCTCTCAGGCATTAAATGCTTTATGTGCACTCTGCTCTCAATTTGACCGACTGCTTGTTGCACTGCCTCAGCGACACATTTCCCTTTTTAAAATCACAACATTCACAGTTTACAACAACGCAGCTTCCAGATCTGTAAATTAAATCATCAAAAATGGGGAAAAAGAGCGGGGAAAAAATGTGAAACAATGAGCCAATCAACTCCAACACTGTAAACTGTTGTTTCTCAATTTTTTTCAAGACACAGAAATGGAAAAAGGTGGGGGGCATCCCAAAAAGACCAGAACCGGTGAGTCCATGACGCACACTTCACACACAGAGGAAGGGAGAAAAAGAGAGAAGTTCCATCCTTGTCATTCACTTCCTGGACTGCATGTTTAGTTCTTTATGGTTCCTGTTTCTCCAGCTGGCATATGGTGTCTCCCTCTAAACAAGAGAAAATTCAGCTTTTGATACCTTCTGAGAAAAAGAATAACAGCAGTTATATTATACAGAGTGATGGAAATTGAAACGTCAGTACTCGTGGTCTTGAGGACCTTACATTTGTTTCACTAACCATATACAGTATGTGTGTGAGTGTGTTTACAGTGTATGAGTGCATGTGTGAGTTCCACCATTTCAACTCAAACACAAAAAGTCTTTATTTCCCTTTTCAGAATTCCGCTCCTGGATCTGCACGTGTCGCTCCCTTCGGTATCCATTCAGAAGAAAATCATCAAAGTCTTTAGAGAAGCTCTTCTCTGTAAACAAAAACCTTTCATTCTGAATAAGAAACTTGCTGTCAGACAAGACGTCACACCAAGCTCTTCACTCCAACATCTTCTTCAATTAAAACTCGAATGCCATCCCATCATCCTCTGGGTCTGGCATGTACCATCATCTGCCTTCCTGCCTCTCTGTCCACCTGTGGGTCAGTCTTGCTCAATGGGGTGTGGAGGAAGATGGGCGGGGTTGGGGGCTGGACAGGTAATGAGGAATGTGTGGTACAGTAGGAGCAGTTCAGTCTTGAGGAAAGAGTGAGGAAGAGTAAGGAGGAGGAAGGTAGAAGTATGGCGATCGGTTGGTCGGTCAGTTGGTCGGTGGGATGGGTCAGTGGTCTTACTCTATGACCATGCAGTGGGGCAGGTGCTGGGAGTAGTATTTGAAGAGCTCGGCGGTGGCTCCAGGGCAGTTAGTCAGCTCCAGCTCCTCCAACTCCTGTAGCTGAATGAGGCCAGACAGACCCGTGGTGGTCAGTAGGGGGCAGCCTGGATGGGGGGGGGGCACAGCAGTGGAATGGGTAAGAAGGATGCTGATTCCGCCAAAAGGTTAGACAGTTTATCTGCTATAACAATTATTTTCTTGAATAATCAATTAATGTTTGTGAAATGTAAAGAATATCCTAAAGCCCAACATGACATCATCAGCCCCTTTGTTACAACCTGTTCAAGGCGGGAAAGGTACAAATGGGGACAGAAGACAGAATGGGGAATTGGCATTTTTTTCTGCTTACAGCCGGCAGTGGAGGTAGCAAGAGAGCCGAAGTGTAAAATGTAAAAACAGTGATGTCATGTGACATGTCCACAGGATCAGTCATTTCTATGCATTGCGCCACCATTGTTTGGTCCAGCAAAGCAAACGCAAAGGGAGCGTAATGCCGATCATTCTTTACTGCACTGGTGGAGGTTCTCTCATGGGTCTTGTTTTGTCACATCAACAGTCGAAAACAAAGAAAGATATTCAATTGAACTTCATGGCAATTTGTCACATGAGTCAAACAAAAGCAGCAAATCCTTACAACTTTTAGGAGACGTTTGGCATTTTCTTTAAAAGATAATGATTAATTGATTTTAAGAGTTCATGTGATGTCTTCTGTGCAAAATTGATGACTTTTGGTCAACTAGGGCGGTGATCAGGAGTATGTGCAGTTCTGCAATTGCCAGGGGGTAAGATTGTGGAGTAACTCAACTAATTTTACAAAATAGAAATTACTATTTAATTTAAACATATATCAACATATTGAGTGAGCTGTAACACATGCAGCTGGTGATACAATTGAGAGGGCCTTAAAACTAGTTAGTGATACGCAGAGAGGTCTAAATAGTTAGCTGAAAGTAATGGATAAAGGATTGAAATAGCAAAAAGTAATAGTTAGCTAAAAATGTGTATATGATTGAAAAAAAATATCTAAAAATTGATAAATGGCTAAAAAGTAAGTGTACAGTTCAACTGTATGAAAAATATTTTCTAATATTATCCACTTTTATATAGTCAGTAGTGTCAAATAAAATCAGTGAACACATTTGGCTGGTGGTTGAGGAAGGGGTACTGATTTCATCTGACAGGATAGTGGGTATATGTGTCTGAAAAAGAGTGTGAACCACTATAATACTACTGTATTTTTTAAATCAAATCAGTGCAGCGGGCACTAGATGGCACTATATATTTGCTCTACAACAGAGAACAGGTGAGTGTTAACATCCACTTAAATACAGTGTTCAGCTGTCGAGTTGTACAAAGAGCACATTTATAGAACAGCCGTAAGACTTGATGAACAAACCACAATATAAAACAAGTAGGCTTTTGTGTTTAATAACCACTGATTGATTTCATTCATAATGTTTTCATGCTGCCACATTTTCTGTTAAATTATATCTTTGTTGCTCAGGTCCTCGATAGCTAGATAGATCTGAATACAGTGAAGGACTATGGTGAGTGCAGTGGATGAATTTCAAGTCACATCAGTTACTGAAACACAAAATAAAATGTACACACACTATTATATACACTATCTTAACCACATATAGGCTTATGTTTGCTTATTTACTTACAATGTATAACTCATTACCCAGGTTTTATATTTTAAAGATGAATGTTGAAAGCTGCGTTTCAGTGTGGTTAGAATAGAATTGTTTTAAAAGTAAGGACTTTCTGTGGAGAAAGATGGACAGATAAATCATACCTGCAAGAGACAGTAGACGAAGACTCCTCATTCCAAACAAATGCTGCAGTCCAAAATCTTGTACCTGCAACCAAGTGCGCGCGCGCACACACACACACACACACACACACACACACACACACACACGTATTCCAATTAAACTCCAATAGATCATTATAGCTGTGCAACTGACAAGTAAAAGGGCAATTGTTTGTATCATTTAATAAATCAATAAATAATCAATAAGTCAATAAAATAATAAAGTCAGTAAATCAATATTCACATTAAATCATTAAAGTTGAGGCTATTTTCTTGTAGTTATCATTTTTACTTGTCCAATTAAATAAATGCTTGAAGGTTGTAAAATCCAGTAGCGAAGTTATTTCCAACCAACTAGTACAAATGCAAACAAAGACAAAAACAATGACAATTCAACTGTATGAAAAATATTCTAATAATATCCAATAGTCAATAGTGTAAAATAACATCCAGTTTAAAATAAATTCAGATGAATACATCTGGAACATGACTGGTGGTGTTGATGAGGGGGTACTTGAGTTTATCTGAGAGAACTGTGGTGGGAAAAGGTTGGGAACTACTGAAGTAGCAGACAAAAAAACAAAACATCAACATGAAATTATGTCAATGTGACATTATTGTCATGGGATAATACAGTTCAGACTTTTCTATGCTTGAACTGCAATATTACTCAACAATCCTAGATGGTAACTCTGATGGATTATAAAACATACTGTAAACAAGTTACAAGAGTGTGTTGAAGTCAAAGAAAATCAAAAACTACATTGTGATGAGATGGATGGAACTAGCTCCAACAGTGACTATTTTGCTATTCTTAGAGCCTAACTAAAAGTTGGAATGATTAAGGTTGTGCTACACAGAATGTCCAATAAGGTTCACCCTGTCAGTATGTAATCAGCTAACTTCATTGTGATCCGTTTATTGGAAATATGTAATTTCTTGCTAGTAGTTTTTCAAATAATGTTCATGTACAATGCCAAGTTGTTTTTCTTAGTTGCTACATAATAAATAGATGTACATTAAGAAAATCCAGTGTGGGATTTTTACAAATGGTAAACATCTTCTCAAGCTTTATTATATCTTTGTGTTTGTGTTACCTGACAACACCAACGCAGATAGAGGCTCCTTAATGATGACATGGTGGACAAGTAGCCCAAGCCAGTGTCTGTGATCCGCACACACCTAAAAGTAGACATAATACACAACAATACACTTGAGTAAACCATGACCATTTCACACACTATAGACATATGTATGTATAAAATATATATATATATATATATATATATATATTTGTATAGTTGGTAGCATATATCTCAATATTAATGTACACTCAATTTTAATAACTACTGTAGACATATACAGGCAGCTGGACTCATGAGATCACACGAATGGTTGTATACAAACTTGTATAATAGCCCCTTTCTAGTCTTTCAACCACTCAAAGAGCTGTACACTACATATCACATTCGCCCATTCACATAGATTCATACAGCAAAGATTCATCATAAACAGAAACTATCAATACACAGCATCTGAGGCAATTTGTGTTCAGTATCTTGCTCAAGAACAGTTTGACATGCAGTGGGAGGGGCTGGGGATTAAACCGCCAACCTTGGCGAATTCATGTTGCCGTGCGTCAAGCTATGTGCTTGTGTTCAACCCAATGGTGCCAGAATGAGTTTCAAAGTGGGGATGGCATTCAGCTTTGTATGATGTTAAAACTTTGGGGGATTTTTTTCATGTCAACTTCTTTTCAATCTCAGCCTAGCCTACAGGTTTTGTGCAACTAAACTATGGTAAGAAATCAGTGGGTAATATATCCATCCCATCCATCCTCTGGATGCCTTTGGCCTCTAGTTTGTGCATGTAGCTCATTTTATACAGTGAGGTCAAGTCCCAAAAACTGGTCTCACTACATTGAAATGGTTACATATGGGAACATCATCACTCATGAATACAGTTGGGCTCATTGAATCAACAAGTGTCTCTACTTTCCAGTCTTACCCAATTTATGCAATCCCAATACTGTTTATGGACCCCAGCAGATATACACTAGGCAAAAAACAAAAACTGCATGGTATTTGCCTAAAACTGCATGGGATTAGCAGAAAGTGGGTGTGGGGAGACTCAGGGGTACCTATAGAACCTATTTGTATTCAGATATCTTGAGGTCAGAGGTCAAGGAACCCCTTTGAAAATACCCATGCCAGTATGATATAGTTGGTAATGGTTGCATCTAGTTTCATCTGGTATCAGTATCTTCACTATAGCTTAAAAACAGAGCCAAAATAAATCATCGGAAAGACAGTGGAAGAGGTTACTTTAACACCTAAAAGTAGGGGGACAAAAAGTCTCGTTGTCCACACTATTCCAGTACCAGTTGTGCAACCACATGTACTACACCATGAGGTATGGGGGTGGTTTAACTCTAGGTGTGTGTGACAACATATTCGAGAAAAAGGGGTTAGTGTAGGTGCTGCTAACCTCAGTTATATCAGAAATAGAACGTATTTCTTCATTGAAAAAGAATGGTACCGAAGGCTTAGGTAAGATACAATCAATAATCTTTCCCAGAATGACTGACCCCACCTTTAAAAAAAAAAAATGTAAGAAGCAACTGAAATACCTGCATCAATGTATGTCATGTCAGATACATATATTGACATTGCTTGATATGAAAAAAATATTTTCATCTAATTTTTTTTTTTTACCAAATTGCATCTAATAGAGCATCTTTGGAATGAGGTGGAACAACATCAGTGTTCCCAGTATATTGTTGAATCCATGCCACAAAGAATTCAGGCAGTTCTGGGGGCAACTAGGGAGTCCTTCCCATGACTAGAAAGGTGTACTTAAAAAAGTGGACATTATAAGCCAAATTCAGCACATATGAGCCCATTTCCACCCTGCAGCCTTGTTGCTAAATAAGGCAACATTTTCTAGTAGAATTGAAGAGCAAGTCCACTGTTTGGAACTGAGCTCAGTACACTGTAAAAATTAGTTGTCATGATAACTTCTAATTCATTGTCAGTATGACTACAAATTATTGAAACAGTTGTGATAACTCAGAATTTTGTGTTTATGTCTTCTCAACTAGTGAAAAGTTTTCAAACTAAGAAACATGATTCAATTGAAATTAAGAATGTCAGTCAAAAGGATGTACGGATAATCGCTTCTGTCATTGGCTGACGTAGGCACGTTCAACGTCTCCAAACAAAACGTTTCTGCTGCCCGCCATTTTCTCTCTTTCACCACATCCAAATCTGTTCGGTAGTTTGGATTACCCTGCTGGAATCTGAGGTAACTAAGATAGCTAGCTTTAAGTGATAGCTAAAAGTTTGGCACATAATTATTATATAATTATAATTTATATTATAATAAATGTTTAGCCTTTTATTTGCATTAATCACCAGAAGCAACCAGATGGTCCTGCTTCTGTTCAGATGTCGTTTTGAACAAAATTCTAGCTCAGCAAAACCTATATCAAAAGATATTTGAAAATAAAAGAGAGAGAAAACTATATTTTTCAAAGCCTTTTCTTGATATCTCTGATATCCATTAAACTTCGCGCGTGACCCCGCCTCCCTGTCTGCAGCGCGAGGCCGAGCTGATTCTGTGGCAGGTGAGCTCAGTGTGACGGAGACACTCTCGTTTCTCCTCAGGAACAAACTGGTGCCTGCTCCACAGTTTGTCATCAATGTGGGTTGAGTTAATTAAATTGCTTTTGTCTTGTCTTTCTTTTGCTAACTTAGCAGTAGCTAATGCAGCTTGTAGTAATATTGATGTTGTAACAGTGAGCTAGTTTCAGCCCAGCTCAGATGCATTGTTTTTTGCAGGTGATATCATTACACTAGAAATCCCAGCATGTACGATGTCGTTTGTTTTTCTTCTCAGGATGTATGAAGAACATGTCAGTGGTGATTGTATATTTTCAACTTATACAACTACTAATGCTAACATGTAGTAGCACTGTTATCAGCAGCAACCTCACTAACTCACACACTCTTACTGTTCCTTGCACAATTTATCTCTCCCTCATTGTCTCACTCTGTAACTCATTCATATACTTTCATTCAGAGCACCATTTTGAGAGAGTGAACAAACTGTTGCTTGTTAAATGAAATGAACTTAATTGATCCATAGATTGTTATTAAAGTGAGGTATCCTCACATCTACTTGAGTGGCTAGTGGCTTTAATAGTGTATTCTGTCTTTTAACAGAATTCCAACCAAACAAAAAGGGCTGTCATTCTGAGGGGCCTGCCGTATTTCCTCCGTGAAGATCCTTCAAAGTTCCTCAGGACTGCAGAGGTAAGCTTAGTTATTGTTACTGAATGAATTGATGAAACTCTGTTGCTAGCTGTTAATGTTTTAATGCCAATGCATGTGGAAAACTGGCCCCATTTTATTCACCCTATCAATTTTGGCTACCATATTATGGCATGCCGTTTAGGAAATTAACTTAGAATATATTGAATGAATGTTTGAATATATTGAATGAAAACTGACGTCATCAAGGCACTGGCGCCATCTTTAGTTTAGGCCTATCAGCTTCTACCTGAAGTGTTATTTCCACCAACATCTCCGAGAGACCCTACGCAGACAGACACACACACACACACACACACACTCGCCAGTTTAAGACTCTACTGTTTACTTTCTGTTTTTTGTTTTATTATCTCTTAACATATGCACTTTAATCTATTCTCTTAATTGTAATGTTATTTTACTTCTATTTAAAGTAAACAGTAGTGGCGAGTGTGTGTGCGAGTAGGGTCTCTCAGCAGGTCAGTAGTCTGATGGTGTGCGGGTAGAAGCTGTCTCTGAACCTGCTGGTCCTGGTTCGGATGCTCCTGAACCACCTGCCTGACGGCAGGAGCGTGAACAGACTGCAGCTGGGATGGCCGGAGCCAGAGAGGATGTGCCGCACCCTCCCCCTGCAGCGCTGGCTGTACAGGTCCCAGACGGCCGGCAGCCCAGTCCCGGCGACCCGCTCTCTGCAGAGCTCCTCGCCCGAGGACAGCACAGTCGCCGCACCAGGCTGCGAAGCCCCCAGCCAGGACACCCTCTTATGAGTAATCATGTTCAACAAAACATTGCTGAAAGAACATTATGCATCATTCTTGAAGGTGAGATGTTGGTGGAAATAACACTTCAGGTAGAAGCTGATAGGCCCATAAGAAAGATGGTGCCAGTGCCTTCATGACGTCAGTTCTCATTCCGGTTTTCAGGTTTCATTCAATATATTCAAACATTCATTCCATATATATTTAATTTCCTAAACGGCATGCCATAATGCCGAAACATGTTCTTGTTCTCATAGACGGTTTGACAAATACTAAAGAATGCTAAAAAATACTCAATACTAAAATATTTTTTTCTTTCTTTGTGAAGCCCACAGACATGGAGGACAGCATGACGAGGGGAATGAATGTCGGCATTGTCCTAGTAAAATAAGGAGAGGATCTTCTTGACATATCGGTGGTCCTGGAGGAACAGATCATTCTGCATGGCATCAAAGACAACTCGCATGCGGTAGCTATGTTAATGGGTCTCCTATATGCACTGAACATTGACTACCCGAAGGAGCTGCAATATACCTTCGAAGTCATTCAGAAGGTTCTCATGAACATCGGCGGTGAGCACTGCTCTGCAAGGGTTCATGGACTGAGGAATAGACTTCTTCGTAAAACTGTGTAGATACTACACTGAGACTGAGAGTTTTCTTTTAAGTTCTGTTCCATTATTGTAATGGTCACTGACATTCTCAGTTGCAAGAATTTAAGACCTTTTCCACGATTTTCTAAGTTGACATTAGTCATAACCTTTCTGTCTACAAGGGTTTGAGGTTATTTTATATTTTGTATATGTTATGAAAGACAGCGACAGAAGTTATGAGTAGAGAGTACTCATTTGTGCACATTCTAAAGAGAAGATGTTTTACCCATAAGCTTGTGCTGTTTTTGGGGACAAAGCTTTTTGTACTTGATGGGATGTGTTGATGTGTTTACCTTGCCCATGTGGTTTATTAAAGCTTTGAAGAACTGGAATTGATTTGGTTTTTTTGGAACAACCAATAACCTATAGAGATCTATCCATAGATATCTTTAAGCATAATCTAAAATAAAGTTGAAAGAGAATTACCAAATATGTAGTATAAATTTAATCTTAAGCAGAACTAAATTATGAAAGTTGACTCAAATATAAATGTATAATGAAGTTGACATAACATAAAGTTAGGTAAACTAGATATTGTAGGTAGACTGAACTGTAGATTAATTATTTTCAGCTTTGGAATTCCAGTTGAAAGAAATTAAGATTGTGTTGACTCAACTAAAGAATTCTATAGGAACTGAATTTTGATTAAGTTATGTGAACTAAAGGTTAAGTTTATTTGACTAGAAAAGTTTATTTTTTTTGACTCATTACACAATTGTCTCAACTAATCTTCACAAGTTCAGCAAACTTCAATTTTAAGGCAGCCCGGACACTAACTTTTGTTAGTTGAAACAACTAGTTTTTTTTTTTTACAGTGTAGAAGTACCAACAGAGCTCTACTACCTTGGAACACAACTCACACTGTGATTTATTTTCATCCACAGTTCTGTAGCAATGTGTTATAATGACTGTATGTGTTACTGTAGTATTGTCCTCTGTGCATCGACTGCACATTTTAACCATGAGTTAGTCACTTGAGTATATCAAGAGTCATTCAGGCTATAATTAATTCACATGGGGCAGGTAGGCAGTTCATCCCTGTCTCCTCCTGTTTCATGTCAAAGTATCCTTGTACATTATATAACTGGTATGCTGTCCTGGCCAGTACTCCCTCAGAAAAGAGATTTCAATCTCAAGGGACTTCCTGGTTTAAAAAAAACATTTATGGCATGCCCTTTAGGAAATTATTGAATAAATACATAGAATGAAAGTCTGAATATATGGAATGAAACTTTGAATATATGGAATTAAAGTCTGAATATATGGAATGAAACTTTGAATATATGGAATTAAAGTCTGAATGTATAAAATGAAACTTTGAATATATGGAATGAAACTTGAATATATGGAATGAAACTTGAATATATGCAATGAAACTTGAATATATGGAATGAAACTTTGAATATATGGAATGAAAGTCTGAATATATGGAATGAAAGTCTGAATATATGGAATGAAATTTCACGTGATCAAGGCACAACACCATCTTGTGTTTTCGATACCGGCCTAATATTATTCCATAAGGATGTTACTACAAGAAGTCTGGGCCTGAGTGAGCCTGCACAGAATCTATCAGAAGCAGTCCATACTAATGAAGAGATAATTAAAACCCTGGCAAATGCAGGCCAATATTCACACTGCTACTGTACTGCAGCTGTATGTTCAAACACAATGCATAGGAAGCAGCAAAAGGTTCAATATGGTTAAAGCAGGAAAGTCAGTAAATCAGTCACTGATCTATGAATGAATGTGGGTGATTCTTACAGTATGTGCTGTCCACAGTGGCTTTATATCATATAAAAAGCATCTCATTCAGTTCATGAAGTCTCTGCAGCATCTGAAGGCATGGACGTATATATGTGAAGTTGGGTAAAGTGCCGTGCCAGAGCGCAGTGTCTTTATGCACGACCGTTCGCTGAGTTTACCTTTATTAAATGGCCTGAAAACAACAGCAGGCTGCTACAATATAACCATACAGAGCTCTACCCACATCAGACTGCTCGACTAGAACTCGATATTCTGCTTTTTATGAAGGAGACCTCCAGTTACCAGGGCCTATCATAGCCTCATCCAACTTTCTGTTTTGGCAAACATAGCGTCTCATGTTTTATCCGTCAAACACAATGCAATGCAAACACTGTTAACAATTAACAATAACATTATTTACTGAACTATATGACAATGTACAAAGTGAGATAAGATAATAATCACTAAAAGAGTGTCAGTCAGGTTATAATAATACAAGCGGTTTCACCAAATCAGTGTCTTCATTTTGACACAGTATTTAATAATCGCCACCTATGATCTATATTTACCTTCAACCAGCCCTTTTGCAGGTTGTGCTGCTGAACATACATGGACCAAATTAGAATGTGTGCTTGGAGACGCCCATACAGTCTGTGCTACCTACCACCTTGCGCTTGTCATTTGACAGGGTACAAATTATTAAACTCAGGGTGCAATGCATATTTGCCCCCTCGTAGAACCGGGCCTGAATATAAAACAACATAATTACATTTTTTTTTTTTTAAATGGCAACGAAAAAAAAAATCTGGTGGGCCCTTCCAGCTTAAATGAGCATGACTCGACTGTCTTGAAGCAACATTGTAATAATATTACACATCTAAAACATAAGATGGCACCAGTGCCTCGATGACGGCAGATTTCTTTCAGTATATTCAGACTTTCATTCCATTTATTCAGAGTTTCATGTTATATATATAATAATTTCCTAAATGGCATATCATATGTATATATATAAACACGTGTATATGTATGTGTAGAATGCCCAAATAAATTATGGCTTACTCTGCCTTTCATATAGGCAATTACTTTCACCAGATTTTTTTTTATGGTAAATGGTAAATGGACTGTACTTTATGTTGACTTGAGTACAGTTAAGGCTCCTCTACCCACCTCTGCAGCTTCTACATCTCTATCTGCCTTTCAAAATGATGAAAGCACAGAATCACAGACACACTGACCTGTCCAGCACCAGTTCTTCCAGTTTATGCAGGTCACAGGCAATGTATTCCAGGGCCATGTCAGTGATCCTTGGGCACCAGGACAAGTCCAGGCTGCGGAGCTTACGCAGGTTCTCAGCAACCAGCTCCACGCCATCATCAGTGATCTTTGAGCAGCCAGACAAGCTGAGGGCGGTCAGGTTGGGGAGGCTGTGCACCATGTTGACCACACCGTGATTGGTGATCTCCCAGCAGGAGTGAAGCCGAAGAGTGTGGGTGGTGTAGCCCTGCAGGTGGAATATAATTCTGAATATGCCGCACATGTGGCACCGTTCACAATCTATGCACTCACTACTGTTATTTGTCAAAATCTCAAAATAAAGCAATTCAAAACTTTTTTTATATAGAGGCTCAATACCTAAATCAATAACCAGAGAAAACCCTCTGTATCTTCATTGAGCGTGGCCACTTCAAATACTTAAAAGAAACAGAACATCACTCGAAAAACAGAAATACTTGAGATCCACAATGAGAAAGAAGGTGTGTACGAGGTACCAAGCTGGTTTCTGTTGTTTTGACATCCTACCTGTTTGGCTGTGAAATAGGCCATGGCTGTGTCAGTGACGTGGTAGGCCTGCAGGCTCAACTCTGATAGGTTGGGCAGGAGCTGTGAGATAGCAGCGATGGCGTCATCCGCCACATTGATGCAGTCACTGACACTGAGGGAAGTTAGCCGGGCATTCAGACTGGACCACAGGCCGGCCTCAGTGAAGTCATTGCAGCCTGACAGTTCAAGGTGCATCAGGCCTTGCATTTGCTCCAACATGACCTGCAACATAAAGGCCACCAGTCTGACTCAGTAGCTGGTGGAATGTGCTTACAGAGAGATAAATAGTAGATAGACAGTACCCAACTAATTAGAAAGGCATCAGAAAGGGACTCCATTTAAACCACTGTGCAGTTCAAGGTAGGTTGTACAATGTTTTAATCAGAACGTGCAGCGTTATTCACAACTACCCTTTCTCTAACAAACCTTTTTCACAGCAGCCATTTTGACATGAAATAGGAGGGTAAACACAGGTGTTACATAATTAAGGTTCTGCTCCATTTAGGTCATAGGTTTCATATTCTACACTATTCTGCCAATCTACAGTATAGACAATTATAGAATAATTATGTCTGAGACTACATCTTATTAAATACAGGTCAGCAGATGAGAATCACTGTAATGAGTCAGCATCTGTGTGTCTTCACAACTTGTGGCCATATTAGTTACAGTACAAGTACCAATGTGAAGGTGGGTGTATTTTGGACCAGCAGCCTGTTGCATCAGCTGAGTGAAAGTTCAAACTTATCATAATTATAATGTAAATTATTAATAAGTTGTGATTTATGCATTACTAAAATAAAAGCGGTTGCACCACAGAGATAAGTTACAACCTAACTCTAAGTTCAGTTCAATTCAATTTATCTGTATCATCAAATCATAACAGAAGTTATCTCTGGACACTTCAGCTCTCAAATAGAGCAGGTCTAGACCGTACTCCTCATAAAATTATTTACAGAGACCCAACAGTTCCCATCACGAGCAAGCATTCATATTGGGCCACAACCACTAAATAGTTACACATCCCCTAAGGTAATGTAAATCTTAAAATGTCACACATTTATACTCACTGATGCTAAAACAGCTGTTTTTCTGACACACAACAACTTGTGTGCCGCACAACTCTTAAACCAACCCTGTATATATGCATTACATTAATGCACTTCTGTTGTTTTTTTTATGTTGCAAATTGCAATTATAATTATATGTCACACAATTTCTGTACAGCTCTTTACTCATTTATTTAAGTAACCAGCCATTTTGTACATATTCTCTCACTATTTATATTTGTATATAGTTGCTCCTTTTTATTGTCTCTATTTTTTTTTTATTTACATTTTTCTATGATTGATTGTAATTCTTATGCACCCATGTAACTTGTTTATGAAAACATACTTGGCAATAAACCTGATTCTGATTCTGATTTTGCGACTCAGTAATCTAATAGACACCCAATTTATTGACACGATATTTTATTATCGATCTAGCTTACTACAATGTGCTACAATGCCATGTGGCTCATGCCAGCCAGAAAGCAAATGCGCATGGTAACCATGACAATGACTCTTTTATTGCTGGTTTAACATTTGCTGAGCATCCATTGTCAACTTTATGCCACAACTTAGAAGGGAACTTAGACATAGCAGCTCTCTAGAAATGGGAGCTAAAGAGAGAGGGAAAAAAGGATAACAATGGCACAACATGTACCATGTTTAGGTCCCAAGTTATGCGTCTTAGACCACCGTGCCATCGGGATGCCCCATGGAATATCTGTTACAGTAGAATGCTAAAATATCAATATAAATAATTGTACAGTTTATTGTGCAAAAAATATGAACAATTCATTTGCACCAAATAAACTGTGGCCACAGGCTATTAGTCTACAGTGTTTTGTTAGTTGGTTTTATACTATAATTATATTTTATACTATATACTATAATTCTTATTTGAATTCTATAACACTTTTGATGTTAAAATTCTACAATTAGTTCCTGTAAAGGGCCATACCAGTATGTAAGTTTAGACAGTTACTACAAGTAATTTACATGAAGTAGATTTAGGACTAAGACAGACAGACAGACAGACAGACAGACAGACAGACAGACGCACAGCAACAACAGTAGCAACAACTACACTAATAGTAGTGACTGATGATGATGAACATGACAACAGCAACAACAGTAACCATAGCAATAATAATACTTATAATAATAATAACAATAATATCAGTGATATTGACAATGGCAGTCAAGCAGGACCATGGCAGGAGGCTCCACCAGGATCCATGAGAACCTGCGAGACGAGAAAGCACAAGAACTCCGGGGAAGAAGTGAAGTTAGTAACATGCATTAATGGAACATGAATGAGTGCAGAAAGAGAGAGAGAGGAAGAGAGTGCACCATGGGAAATCCCCCGATAGTCTAGGCCTATAGCAGCATAACTAAGGGATGGTTCAGGACTCACCTGATCCAGCCCTAACTATAAGCTTTATCAAAGAGGAATGTCTTAAGCCTACTCTTGAATGTGGAGAGGGTGTCTGCCTCCCGAACCACAACTGGAAGCTGGTTCCACAGGAGAGGAGCTTGGTAACTGAAGGCTCTGGCTCCTGTTCTACTTTAGAGACTAAAGGAACCACAAGTAGCCCAGCATTCAGAGAACACAGTGTTCTAGTGAGGTAATAGGGTACTATGAGCTCTTTAAGATATGAAGGGGCCTGATCATGAAGAGCTTTATAGGTGAGGAGGAGGATTTTAAATTCTATTCTATTATTGGTTTATGGTTGGTTAACATCGAGAGCAATCAAAACAAATAATTAAGAAAAGGCCTTTATGGGCAACCAGTCTTTATCAGTTCATCCTGTCAGCTGTTTTTGAGTTGATCTATAATACTGGCCTTTTATATGAGAATGTACAGTACTCCAAGTCAGTAGAATCGCTAGAGAAACAAGTCCAACTATAAAAACAATTAAGAGAAAATGAAAATGAGATGTTCATATCAACAATTTAGTGAAGTGATTTGCCACATGAGTACATAAATATTATGACCTTTTAGTCTGGTTTGGGTAATGATCTGTATTATATTTGGAAATTTGTGGAATGTGGAAAAAAGCAGCATGAAATAACATTTCATAATGCAGAGCTGAGTTTGGATTATTTCATTGATAATAAAAAAATTGGCTTTCAGAGCATGGATACCTTTTGCACATTATTGTGCTGTCAAACGAAACCAGTGCTTTTATAATTCTCCATTTTCAAGGTGCAACAAAACAGTAAAGCACAGAACAGCACCACACAACAGGAAAGTTCATATATAGATCATGTAGCCAACAATTACAGCTTTCTCCATAGCAACCATCCACTCATCCCAGAATAGCAGCCTAGCCTAGCAGGTATGAACAGCCCCACTCTGCAAGCATTATGCCTCTTTTGGAATATGAGAGCATAAAGGCAGAGCTTATGAGAACAGAAAGAAAAAATATTCTTGTTTTGCCGCTGCTGTCTAATATTCTCTGTTACCATAACACAAACAACAGGTACTTATGCTGCCTAATGTCCAAACACATCCACTTGTATACAGACTCATAGCCAAAACCAGACTAAATTTCTACTCCTTTCAGGGCCTAAAGGAGTGATAGAATCTGAAAATACCTCCAATTATACAGCTGTGTGCAGTTTATGGGTAACAATACAGGACTGGATGAACATTATATTGTAAAGGTTTTTAAAGCTTCCATCATGTACAATCATCCTCTGCATGTTACAAAATGTCAGTAACTGCCCTGTATAGAGGATAATATGGCAAAGGGACCCGGGCAGTGAGCTTGACAAAGATGTCTGAGGCGGCTGTGGCTTAGAGGCAGAGCGGGTCGTTCCTTAATCAGAAGGTTGTGGGTTCGACCCCCCGGCTCCTGGTGCCATGTTGAAGTATCCTTGAGCAAGATACTGAACCCCAAATTGCTCCCGATGCTGTGCATTGGTGTTTGAATGTGTAAGAGTATTAGTTTCAGTCACTGTGTGAATGTGTGTGAAAGGGTGAATGTGGCACGTAGTGTAAAAGCGCTTCGAGTGGTTGGAAGACTAGAAAGGCGCTATACAAGTACAGGTCCATTTACCATTTACCATTGTCCACAACATGAGTTGGCCAGTTGGATAGTAAATTTATATCATAAAATAATTCACAGATACTGTAATACTCAGCCTTAAACAACTTGGTATAAGTAGAAGCGAGGAGTGCTGTAAATGTAAGAGTTCTGTGAGTATTTTTCTATATTTCATGTGGGACTGTCCACTGGTCTCCCCATTTTCCGCCCAGAGTGGTTGGGGCCCTTCTGTTCACATCTGTTTTACCAGCTGTACAGTTTGGGTTAAATCTATGTCAGTCTAAGGACTGGATTGAATTCATGACTGTTACAGCCTCATACTCTGTGAGCTACCCCACATCTCAGTGAATTTGGATCACTGAGATGTGGGGTAGCTACCTCAGATGTTGAGGCTCATTTAATTGCAATATGTCATAGAAAGCTGTAATGTATGTCATGTGGGATGCTATGTGTTATGGGGAAGGGGAGATGCTGTGACTTATACTGATGTGCTGTGATGTTTGCTCAGTTTTCATTTTATTTTGGGGTTTTTGTGTGTGTACTTTGTTGCCTGTGGACCACAGAGTGAAAGATACGTGTTGTACTGTCATATTGCAGGATGTTTGAGAAATACAATAAATAAAAACTATAAATGACCAAAAATAAAAGACTAAAAGGGAATAGTTTAGTTTTTGCAAGTTCTCTCACAGCTGCCTCGTGAAAGGTCTTCAAGCAAACCTCCAGGACTGCCTTCTTTCATTTACGTAATATTACAAAAATTAGACACATCCTATCACAGACAGATGCAGAAAAACGAATCCATGCATTTGTTACTTCAAGGCTGGATTACTGCAACTCTTTATTATCAGGTTGCCCCAATAAGTCCATTAAAACACTCCAATTAATTCAGAACGCTGCAGCACGAGTACTGACAGGAACTATAGAGATCACATCTCTCCTGTACTAGCTTCTCTGCACTGGCTCCCTGTAAAATTTAGAATAGAATTTAAAATCCTCCTCCTCACCTACAAAGCTCTTCATGGTCAGGCCCCTTCATATCTTAAAGAGCTCATAGTACCCTATTACCCCTCTAGAACACTACGTTCTCTGAATGCTGGGCTACTTGTGGATCCTATAGTCTCTAAAAGTAGAACAGGAGCCAGAGCCTTCAGTTACCAAGCTCCTCTCCTGTGGAACCAGCTTCCAGTTGTGGTTCGGGAGACAGACACCATCTCCACATTTAAGAGTAGGCTTAAGACATTCCTCTTTGATAAAGCTTATAGTTAGGGCTGGATCAGGTGAGTCCTGAACCATCCCTTAGTTATGCTGCTATAGGTCCAGACTATCGGGGGATTTCCCATGGTGCACTGAGCTCCTCTCTTCCTCTCTCTTTCTGCACTCATTCCTGTCCCATTAATGCATGTTACTAACTTCACTTCTTCCCCAGAGTTCTTGTGCTTTCTCGTCTCGCAGGTTCTTATCGATCCTGGTGGAGCCTCCTGCCATGGTCCTGCTAGATTGCCATTGCCAATACTGTTGTTGCTGTACACCTGTCTGTCTGTCTGTCTGTCTGTCTGTCTGTCTGTCTGTCTGTCTCTCTCTCTCTCTCTCACCCCAACTGGTCGAGGCAGACGACCACCCACCTAGAGCCGAAGGATCTGTCCTAGGTTTCTGCCTTTTAACAGGCAGTTTTTCCTTGCCCTTGTCGCCAAGTGCTTGCTCATGGTGGTACTGTTGGGTCTCTGTAATTAATGTTATAAAGAGTTCGGTCTAGACCTGCTCTATTTGAAAAGTGTCCTGAGATAACTTCTGTTATGAATTGGCGCTATACAAATAAATTGCAATTGAATTGAACTTTCATCCCACTAGTGATGGCACTGAATATTGTAATTTCTAATGTAGAAACCAGTATTCAAGCAATGACATCTTAATAACTGGCCAGTGGCTAATAAGGTATAGCATAAAACCTTGAGAAGGGGTGAATTTACCTTAAACCTTTTTTTTTCTTTTTTTTTTTACAAAAATTAAAAAAGAATTACATTATAACAACAACATTCTAATGCTGTTTGGTGTCAGACTTTGGTGCCAGTTATACTGAAGCCTATACGAGATGCATGGAGAAGAACACTAAAATTAGCTTCCTGGCTCCCTGTAAAATTCAGAATATAATTTTATATTATAATTTTTAAAATCCTCCTCACCTGCAAAGCTCTTCAAGGTCAGGCACCTTCATATCTTAAAGAACTGTGGTTCCTATAGTCTCTAAAAGTAGAACAGGAGCCAGAGCCTTCAGCTACCAAGCTCCTCTCCTGAGGAACCAGCTTCCAGTTTTGGTTCAGGAGGCAGACACCCTCTCCACAAAACTTATAGTTAGTGCTGGCTCATGTGAGTCTTTAACCATCCCTCAGTTATGCTGTTATAGGCCTAGACTTCCAGGGGACTCTTCTTCTCCCTCTGTATCTGTACACATTTATGTCCTACTAATGCATGTTACTAACTTTACTTCTTCACCTGAGTTTTTGTGCTTTCTCGTCTCCCATGGTTGTGCATACTGCCGTGGTTCTGCTTGATGCCCACTGCTAATATTATCATTATTATTATCATCATTATTATATTACTGTTATCGTCTCTGTCATCATAATTAACATCATTACCATTACTCATATTTCTTCTATTATAGATGTTGTTGTTACTATTATTGTTGCTGTGCAATTCTGCATTTCTGTCTCTTCCTCTGTCAGCCATTGAGGCAACAAAGTAGTGTCTGGTGGCTACTCACAACCGTTGCTGCCCACAGACACTACTTTGTTGCGTTAATGGCTGCTGAGATTGCAAGGGAGAGCTGGAGTGGCTCTGAGTATAATGCTCTACTCTCCCAGGCAAAGATCAGGTAAACATTTCATCCAGTAAATTCCCTCTTTTACCAAATCCTGACTCACCTCCAAACCAGCATCTGTGATGGTGGACCTCTTGAGGCTGACTGAGCGAACACCTTTCTTAGACAGCGGGTAGTTGTCGATGAACTCACAAATGTCCAGGTCTGACACACCCACTAAGCAGAAAGACTGGAAGCCACGCAAGGCAAAGGCCTGCAGACTGACAAACTCCTTCTCCCCATTGGACAGCAAGGTATATAACTCCTTGGCATGCAAGATGGGAGTCACACCCTCCCAGAACTTGGGTTGGTACAGCACTTTGCGCCATGTCTTGCATACCTGCGCCAACACACATTTTTCAGCTGTGGTGAAGTACCAGAGCAATCGGTTGAGCAGCTTCTCATCCAGGACCAGCTGGCGCTCCAGCAACATGGGTTTGGGTAGAGTGAGAGGGGGAAGCTGACGAAGGGATGGCTTTAAGCCCATAAGAGGCATTCCAGGCTCCAGATCAGAGCCCAAGAGAGAGGCTGCTGAGGTGGGCATACCGGAACCGTCCAGGTGGTGGTGGTGGTGGTAGGGAAGAGACGATGGTGGAGGAGGCAGGATGGAGGGTACTGAGGAGGACTGGCACAGGCGGTTCTTGGCAGCAGGGGTCCCCTTGGTGATACTCGCACTGCCCAGACCGTTGGGCTGGCTGGGGGGCAGCTTGACCATACCATTGCGAGTCACGCAGGGAGACTTCAGCTCGCTGGGGGTGGACATGTTCAACATTAGGAACCTGGTGAAAGATAAAAGACCCACAATGTGCTGTCAAACAAATTTGTCTGTAAAGACTAATTTAAAATGCTTCGGAACAATGACATGATTAATATTATATAAGACATCCAACATTCGAAGCAATGTCATTCCAATGTAGCAAAATAACTGTAGGTAAATACACAGTCTCTCCATATTTCATTGAAAGCAGATGAGTAATTAGTGAGGCATCAGCTGAAGAAGAAGAAGAGCTAAAGTCAAACTTTATAGCAACTTATTGCATAGTGTGCAGTGATAGACACTCCAACACACTGCATCTTAGTTTAAGAGTTCCAGACTCTTGAAAGAAATTTTCTTTGGGTGACCAGGGCAGCTATGGATCATTCTACGCACCTTTCCCCAGACTTCAGTTCATTAGTATAAACAGTGTTTTGTAGGTTGTAACAATTTCATCCCTGCCGCTGTCAGACTCTACAACACCTGATCAATGTTGTAGTTTCTGTTTTTCAAATTACCACCATACCATAGCTTTACCACTTTACCATAGTTTTTTTATATCTGTATTTATTTATTTCACGTAATTGCTGCTGTGACAAGGGAATTTCCCCAGTGTGGTGTAGTATAAAATTTAGTGTAGGTTAGTACATATTATAAGCTAGTAATCAAGTAATCACACGAAAGTTTGGATATTATGTTGTAAGCACTATGGCTTGTTCACACAGATAACTGGAAATCAAGTAAAGAGCACTATGTTTTTAGTAATGATGATTTTGAGTGTTAAGTAGAATAGATTTTATATAAGCACACAATGATGTTAATGAAGGCATTATGTTTTAAGCATGATAAGCACAAATACTGTTGATGAAGTAGTAAGCACCATGGTTTTAGTAAAGGTTTGATTTAATGTGTGAAACATATAGAATGTGTAGTTGTAGCAAAAAACAAGCACTGATTATACCAAATGTTTGTGTGTGATTGTAACACAAGTTTCTTGTAAAGTTTATAAAGGTTTTTTAAAAATACAGTAAAAGACATCTGTGACATAATGGTGTAAGAAAAAGGTAATAAATGGTTTTTAAAAAATAGAAGTACAGAAAACTAGATTCTAATGGTGTAATTCTGAAGAAAGGAGAGTAAAAAGAAAATGTCATGGCCTACTGGTGTAGGCCATGAAGTCTGCGGGTTCTATGATAAGAACATAGGCCCAACAGGTGCAGGATAATTGGGCTGATAAGACACCAGTAGAACAGAAAAATGGAATTTCAGGGTCTTTCCAGAGTGGAATTTACACCATTATGTCGCAGTTTGAAAAGGTAGAAGTTGGGCAGGACTTGTGACGGAATGCAAGAGTATATAAGGAGAAGCTTTGTGAGGTTGAATTCAGTCTTTCCATGGATGACTCGGGCCTTGTTTGTCTGTTAAGATAATAAAGCTCTAATCTAGTGCCAACTTTGATGAATCCTGATTGTTATTTATCAACCAGAAGGATAATAACTTTTAAACCAAATTTGGACTTAGAATTTGTGATGTTGGACACAATCTTTTGATCAAAAAGAGAACTAATTTAGACTGAGACCCAACAGTGGGATTAATAAAGTAATACAAACAAAATGCTGAGCCAAACATGTTTTTGTAGACCAAGTTTTCACCAGGAAATGGATTAACAGAGTTGTTAAGTGTTGAACAACCCACCATACTTCTCGCTATGTGTGGCCTGCTCTCAAATATCCTTACAGTACTAAGCGGCTGTCGCTCAGAGGCAGAGCCGGTCGTAAACTAATCGGAGCCTGTTGGTTCGATCCCCAGCTTTTCCCATGTCGAAGCATCCTTGAGCAAGATACTGGACCCTGAATTGCTCCTGATGCTGTGCATCAGTGTGTGAATGTGAATTATTGAGTTAGTTTCTGTTCGATGGGCTTTGCTGTCACTGAGTGAATGTGTGTGAAAGGGCAAATGTGACATGTAGTGTAAAAGCGCTTCGAGTGGTCGGAAGACAGGTCCATTTACCATTCACTGTAGAGCACCGGTTCTTAAACTATGGTGAATGGTAAATGGTAAATGGACCTGTACTTGTATAGCGCCTTTCTAGTCTTCCGACCACTCAAAGCGCTTTTACACTACATGCCACATTGGTACTACTGGTGGTATGCAAGGAGTTTGGTGGACGAATGTAGATGGGTAGAAAGTGAGACGCACTGTTGTGGAGGAACTGATGAAAGAATTTCAGCTGGATCTGGGAAATCTGCTGGGAGATATATATAAAAGAAAACATATATATTTCCTTTCACCACTAGGTGGCGCTCTCACTATTACTGAATATTATCACATAGGCATGTTCAAGGTGGGACTCTTATCAGACAAGTGAAGTTTGGAGCCGACTGGACAATGTACACTCAAGTTATAGCAAATTCGTGTTTTGTGGGGGTACATCAAAATTTCCGCCACACCACAGACACGCCCCCTCACCACAGTCAACACATATCATCAACAATGTGTTTTGCATTTTATAAGTAAATTTCAGCTGGATCTGATCATCCTGCGAGGAGTAGAACATGAAAGTATAAAACGTGATACTTACTGTTACCACTATCACTATGTCTGAATATTGTCATGTAGACGTGTTCAGGGTGGGAATGTTATCAAACACGTGAAGTTTCATTGAGGTTGGACCACGTACGCTGAAGTTATGAGGACGTGTTCAGGGCGAGACTATTACAGAATATATGAAGTTTACTGGAGATTGGACATTGCACACTGAAGTTATGAGTGCTGTTTTATGGCGAATCCGCTGAATTCGACAAGTCGTCACTGGCACAGTCATTTCACGTAACTCAGCTCAAAATCGCCACGCAGCGCTTACTTCCTATTGCCAGTAGGTGTCGCTATCACTATATCTGAATATTGTCATGTACACATGTTCAGGGCGGGAATGTTATCAAACACGTGAAGTTTCATTGAGATTGGATCATGTACGCTGAAGTTATGAGGACGTGTTCAGGGTGGGACTGTACACTGAAGATATGAGTACCATCTGTTTGATGGCCAATCGGTGGAATTCGACACGTCGTCACGGGCACTCGGTTAAACATACAGTCACAAATAGCACAACTTTTGATAACCAATGTGTGTAGATTGAAGTGATCGAATTTGAAGTCAATCTGATAAAATCTGTAGGAGGAGTTAGTTAAAACAGAAGCCCTTAAATGCCGGAAATAGCATCACAGTTTGACATTCGATTCAACCTGGCCAACTCTGAGGGAACGCCACCGACACGCCCTTTAATGTACATGCACAAATAGCACAACTTTTAATCAGCACCATTTTTTGACTGTACTGACTAATTTTGAAGCAGATCTGATAAATTCTCTAGGAGGAGTTCGTTCAAATACAATGCAAAAAAATGCTGAAAACCATTGCAAAATGCCGGAAATGGCATCACAGTTTGACATTTGATTCAACCTGGCCAACTTTGAGGGCACGCCACGGACACGCCCTTTAATGTACATGCACAAATAGCACAACTTTTAATCATCCCTAATTAAAGCTGCAAGCAGCGTTGGGCGGGACCTCGCACTCCACGCAACTCGGGGCGTGCTGCGGCCGCGTCACGTGCTGTTGCAACACGTCCACCACAACATGAAAATTTCACGTAAATCAGCTCAAAATCGCCCCGCAGCGCTTACTTCCTGTTGCCAGTGGGTGCCTATGTCTGAATATTGTCATGTAGACGTGTTCAAGGCGGGATTGTTATCAAACACGTGAAGTTTCATTGAGATTGGACCACGTACGCTGAAGTTATGAGTTCTGTTTTATGGCGAATCGGCTGAATTCTACAAGTCGTCACTGGCACGCGGTTTGACGTACAGTCACAAATAGCTCGACTTTTCATCTACAGTTTGTTTGACCACACAATTCAAAATGGCCAACTTTGACGGCACGACACAAACACGCCCTTCAATGTACAGTCTCAAGTAGCACAACTTTTAATCAGCACCGTTTTTTGACTGCATTGACCAATTTTGAAGTCGATCCAATAAATTCCCTTGGAGGAGTTCGTTCAAATACAAGGCGAAAAATCACAGAAAATGAGCACGGAATTCAAAATGGCTGACTTTGATGCCACGCCACGGACACAAGGTTTGATTGAATGTGCGTAAATAGCACAACTTTTAATGCATGAAAGTCTTTAGATAGCGCTGATTAAATTTGAAGTTGATCTTATAAATTCCCAAGGGGGGAGTTTTTTAAAAAAAAAGAAAAAAAAAAAGAAAATGAGCACGGAATTCAAAATGGCTGACTTTGATGCCATGCCACAGACACGCTGTTTGACGGAATGTCGTAAATAGCATAACCTTTAATCAGCACCATTTGTTGACTGTACTCATAAATTTTTAAGCATATCCGATAAATTCCTTAGGAGAAGTTTGTTCAAATACAACGCGAAAAGTTCGCCGAAAGTGAAAATCAAAATCAAATGGCCGACTTCCTGTGGGGTTTGGGGTATGGGTCCAAGAGGCTTTTTGTACGTCCCGGCATGTTACACGTGCCTACCGAGTTTCGTACATATCAGTGAAACGTGGCGCCGGGCTGTTTTTTATTCCTGTAGGGGGCGCTACAAACACGATTTTTGGTATGTGAGCTACAGGCACCACTCTACAGTGCCTGTGAATTTCATAATCATAACATTTTTCAGTCAGGCCTGACAATTCTTTAGCCAAGCATAAAATTCACCGAACGTGGTATAAGGTTTTTGAATGTGCGATAAACTATGCAAAGTTAGACCTAAATTTTTATGATAGTAGCGCCACCTAGGGCAAACAAAGCGTTGCACAGAATATAAATTTTTATAGGCCGACAACTTTGCCAAATAAAATTGACTTTTTATATGTTCAGGGGGCAAAACCCAGTTGAAGCGCTAAAAATAATAAAAAAAAAAAAAAAAACAATAGGGACCTCCAGCGGTCGCTGGCTCGGTCCCTAATAATAATAAGAAGAAACGAAGCAAAACAATGGGGACCTCCA